TCTTGTGTTTGTTTTCATTTTCATTGGGGGTGTGGCTGGAGGTGGGAAGAGTAAAGAAAGTGCTGGCGTGTATTAAGTGGAGTTGGTTGCAGTTTTAATTACATGAACATTTATTTAATTTAACGAGTTTCAACCTCAGTTGAGCAAATTATAACTTGCAGTAATTCAGAACCTGTTTGAGAAATTTATTTTCATTGAAAAACTTTCAAAGTTGAATTCAAGAATTTTATTTCAGTTTTAGTGAACATTTTGTTAGCATCATTAAACTAATGTAATTCGATTTATTTTGTGATGAATTAAAAGGAAAATTTAATTCACTGAACTACTGAAGGAAGAATCGAAATTAATTTTCTTTATCAAACCAATTTCAGCGACTTCTTCAGAAACTTTTGTCATTGATTTTTCTGATTCATCACTGGATTTACCAGATTGAGAAGATTTCTTGTCGCTGTCGATGAAACCCATCAAAGCTTGTCGGCGATGTTCCTTGGAAATCTTCTTCTCATAATGTTGATGAATTTTCTTCATTTCTTGATTAACTGAATCAATTTTTGTCTTTGTTTCGTTGATTTGGTTCAGACTTTTTACTCGCTGATCGAGAAGAGATTTATTTTCAGTTGGAATATCTGCAATTTGATAGGCGAATTCCTCAATGCGATTGAGCTTTTGAAGTTTTGAAATTTCAAGGCCTTGGATTTTGTTTTGAATTTCACGTTTTTCCATCATCAACTTGTCGATAATTTCCAAATTTTCATTAGTTTTATGAATCTTTTTATCTAATTCCTCAACCAAACGGAAATTTCCAGATTCGACTTTTCGTATTTGTCGTTCAAAGTTTGTTTGGATGATTTTCTCGGAGATTTCTTTGAGACTTTCAAGTCGTCTTTCCAGAATATAATTTTGATTCTTTGTCTCGTCAATTTCATTCTCTAATGACTGAATATCGCACTGAATTGCATTTTGTTTCATTTCAGATTCTCTGACTTCGTTTTCTTGTTGATGTCTTCGAGTTTGAAGGTCGATGATTGAATCGTTCTTCATTTGTCGCTCAATTACCAACTGATCAGCTCTCAACAACAAATCTTCGATATTAAACTTATTAAATTCTTCGTTCATTCTTTGCACTTTTTCCTTAGCTTGATCTAGGAGTTTCTTTTGTTCTTCCAACTCCAATGCTGCTGCATCTCTTGATCGTCGAGTTTGGTCTGCTGTTACTTGAGCTGCTTCAACTTCTTCAGCTTTTTGAATAACTTTAAAAGGAAAATTTGAGTAAATTGATCAAATATTTGATTTAAAATGTCACACTTACGTTTCTCATCCAATTCCTTTTGATAATCAGTTATTTTCTGCTCTCGATCGTTGTACATCGAAACAGCATTCTTGTACTCGTCTCGTGTTTTATTCAAAGCATTTTTGGCATCATTAAATGGATCCACCAGGTCATTATATTTGGATTGAAATGCCATCAAGCTTTTGCTCCACTCATTAAATGTTTCTTTTGTTTTCTCGTTGTAAACATTTTCCTTAAACAAGCACGAGACCAAATCTGCTTTTTCAAGATCCAGTTGCTCAGATTTTTCCTTTAATTCTTTGTTTTGAGCTTTCAAAGCAGCATTATGAGACTTTTTTTCTTCAATAATAGCATCAAGTTCGCTATTGGATAATTGAACCAAATTCAAAAAGTAACTTTCGTAAAAATCAACATTTTTGTCAGAAGTTTCCAAGGAATTTGCTTCTTTAAGGTTAAATTCACCGTCAGCTCGTTGACGTTTCTTTTATTGAAATTATTAATTTGTTAAATATATAAACAGCACATTAATAATAGGTTACAATACCTGTGACATTTTCCACTCAAATTTAATTTAAATTTATATGTTTAAGCATTAAACAGCTTGCTTGACATCGAAGTTCAAGTTACAATAAAATTTCCCTCGCAAGGGTTCAAATTTAAAAATTCGAAATTTTGAATTTCGAAAATGTAGATCTCAGCAATTTTCGAAATTAAATTCGCCTACAACTTTCGTAGAAAGCTTTCGTTTTTAAAAATTATCTGGAAATCTAAATCGAAAGAAAATATACAAGATGAAGGTGATGAATACGAAAAATAATTGATCCGAAATTTTTATTCATAGTATTTTGAGAAAAGAAATCTTAAAAATTAAAAAACTAAAATGTTTAATCATTTTGGTAGATTCATCAGGGCAGAAGAGCTTTTACCATTCCATAGATGACATCAAACATTTCTTTTGCTTTCTTTTCAATTGACGAACCTTGTACGAAAAATTTATCATATGAATCATCGCGAGTTTCAATAGCGTAACTAAACTTTATTTTAGCTTTATGCATCGCAAACTGGTCAATTGTTCCAGCAACTTTACGTTTTCCTTCAACAGAAAACTTGAGCTCATTATTTGGCAAAGTTTTTGTTGCCATTTTTACTCCAGCTCGTGCTACATCTTTAATTTCATCAAATTTGTCTTGACTCAGATGGTCTGAAGGAAAAGTTATTTTCTGTCCATATCCAGTAAGTGAAATAAACATTTCGATATTTTTATCTTTCTCCATTAGAAACTTTGACAAAAGCTTCACCTCTGGTTCTGAAGAATGTTCTGGGCCTCCATAAAAATCAGAACAAATCTCATTAGACGCATCACGTTTCATCCAATTATATTCAAAATTTCTATTCACATCCACACCGAAACATTCTTCTGTTCGGTTCTCAGGTGTACTGAACCAGTTGAACCTGCAATTGAAAGAATCTTCAGTTTTAATATTTTATTGTTGTACACAGAAATAAATAAACTTACAATGATGACCAGAAGTCAGAAGATTGTGAATGTTTTGATCTTGTTTTCTGCCAAAGTCTGTCATAATTCATTGAATATTCATAGCCATCTGGATTCAATACTGGCATCACATACCAATCCGCCCCCCTAATCGTCTCGCCAAGAGTATCATTACTATTTATATTCATAATTAAATTGTTTAAAATGTAAGTCGCCGATGCAATAGAAAGCCATTCGTGTGCTTCTAATCCTGATTGAATAAAAATTCCTGGCTTTATGAAAAAGTTTCTAAATGGTCTTGAAATATTGTTAGAATCGTCATAAGGATATGAAACTTTAACAACAGTCAAAGGACGACCTTCGAATGACCATCCAAGTTGAATTAACTCAACAAATTCTGGATACTTTCTTTTTAAATAATCTAAATATGAATGAATATCTCTGTAATGATGATAACGATACCATGTCAAAGGATGTCCATTCATAACTTCCAATTCAATCTGATCACGTTTTGTTAGTCTCGGATTTTCATATTCAACGGCATGTTGAAGGTCACGAATTTTCACATCAAATTGAATGTCATTGTCGTCAAGAAAATCTTTAAAACTTTCTACGTATTCTGGTGACACAACGACATCCGTGAACCCTCTCGTTGACGGTCCCTTCATCCAATGTACATTCATTCCCTTGTCTGATATTTTATAATCTTCTAATACTTTTGATTCTTCTTTTGTTTTGGTTGACAGTCGCCAAAGCTGATAATCATCGTAATTTACGCGACGATTTTTAACTCTTGGCTTGACTTTCAATTTTTCGTTTTTTGATGAAGGTAGAAAGTTGGTGAAAATATTGAAGAAATTGCTTGTTTTTGTTTCTTCTGTTGAAGAAGTAACAGGTGGAATTGTCACTGGATTTACAGTGGTAATCGATTCTATCTCATCATCTTCGTTGGGTTGCCAGGGAAATTCCATCCAATTACGATGAGTTGTGGAACTAAAAGCTTCGTCATTATCATTTGAAAAAAGAAAGCTAGGCTGATACCATGCCATTGGTTCATTTTCTCGCTTGGGTCGTTTCGATTGCTGTTCAACTTTCTCGGTGGTTAAGCGACCTTCATCTTCATAATCGTAATATCTACGCTTGGGTGGTTTTCGACTCTTGTCTTCAGCTCCAAAATTTCTAAAGGAAGATAAAAAGCTTCCGAAGGTTGAAAATAAATTCGAGACACCATCAAAGATAGAAGAACTTGGAGCAGCATCTTCATCACTGTAATCTTCAACAGAACTCTTTATTTTCTCTCCTGTTGGAAGTCTATTCGTAGGAATGTCATCATAATACTCCTCGTCACTGCTGTCATCTTCAATGTCACTAGAGTCATCTCGAAGTCCCAAAACATTATCATAAAACGAAAATTCATCATCATCATCATCATCGTCATATTCTTCACTGCTATCAAGCTCCGGTCGCTTGATTTTCGTAGGTTTCTTTGTGGGATAATCGAGTAACTGATTATTTTTAATTGTTGTCTGATCTGGAATTGAATCATCATATTCACTTGTAACAGTTATTTTTGTTGTTAATGATTTTTTAGGATTTCTTTTCTTCAAAACCAAATCAGTGTTTCTCTTTCTACGTTTTTCGGCATGATCTGAATTGTCATCGTATTCTGATTCTGATTCGCTATAAGATTCATCATCAATTGACACATCATTATTCTTGCCATAATCGCCTGCATCTTTCGAATAACCAGAATCTTCCCAATAATTAAAGAAGCCACCAAAAAAATCGTCGTGATCATCATCTTCATGATCATGTGCGTAATAAGCTTCTTCCTTATGATCGTCACTCTCATCATACCCGTGACTCTCACTCTCGTGACTGTATTTATCATCATCGTGGTCGTCATCGTGATCATCATGATCATCGTGTCCGTGATCGTGGCCATGTCCATGTTTTTTACATTTTTTCTTTTTCTTTTTCTTAGCTTTATCCTCGTGACTCTCTTCGTCACCTTTTAAATTCTCTTTTGATTTTTGTATCTTTTCACTTTGATATGGTTTTGGTGATGGTTTTGGAGTTATATTCACGATGACTGTTCCTGATTCTAATTCAATATTTTTCGTTTCATTCTTCGTGCAATTTACCATGAGAACTTTACGATAATAATCTATGTTTTTAATTAAATTATCAACAGTCGGAGCAGTTGTTGTTGTTGTAAGCTTCTTTTTCTTCTTCTTCTTCCTTTTGATTGGAATTTTAGTTGGATTTGTAACGAACGTCGATGATGTTGTTGTGGAATATTTAAATAACATTGGCGGTGCTACAGTGGAGAAGACTGGTTTTGGTTTTTCAACGACTGGTGGATATTGTTTGAAATGATTCTTAAAGATCTCATCGTAAATGTTATGAAGAGAATTCTGAGCTGATGAGAAATCATCATTGTAAAAACTTGGTGTTTGATGTCCATAAGTTATTGGTGTTTCATTGTCTTCATAAGTTGTTTGCATATAAGTTTGTGGAGTGAAATGTTCACCATAAATTGTTTGCGGTGATCGATTGACTTTAACAGGTTTCCTCGTTACTTCAATTGGCACACTCAATCTTGTTGGTATGAACCAGTCTCGAGTGAAATTATGTTTTGTTATTAATCCACTTTTAAAATTATTTTGAGATCCCTTGAAATTATTGTTCGTTATAAATTCACTGTTTTTAAATAGATTTGACTTTTCAAGAATCTCAATGAGTTCGTTCTTTGGTTTGTTGACTTCACTTTGCTTCTTAATTTCCACTAATTGTCCTTTTCTATTTCTCACCATTTCCTTGTTATTAACAATCACAACATTCTTGAAACCTTCGGTGAAGCTTTGAAGCGACATCATCAAAATACAAACAACAATTCTTGATAGCTTTGTCATGATGCTCGTCTCATTTTTTCTTTAAAACCATTTACAATGATGAACTGAAAGCAACTGGCTGAGATAAATACTTAACATTTCTATTTAAACTAGACTTCAATTGTTTTATTTCTCAACTTTAATTGTCGCTCATCATGCGCTTGTCAGACCATGAAAATTGGGTAAAGTTCTCGTTTGTATAAATGGCAAAAGTTTTGCTTTCTTTTCTATTTTCTTTTGACGTAGTCATGCGTTTGGAAAATGAAATGGTAAAGTGACCACCTGTGACCTGAATCAACATACAACCTCAGATTAATTCTGAAATATGAAAACAAAAAAAAGTTCTACAATCTGTTCAAAAAATAAATTTTCTTTTACATCGATCTCTTTAATTTTCGTTTGATATTTTAGAGGGAAACATTTAAAGTGATGTTTTCTTTTATAAATAATTCAATTTTTGATTTAAATAAATATATGCTGTCAAATGTATCCACATATGCTAATGAATTTACTCCACTTACAGAGTTTCATGTCAAAACATGTGACGTTATTGTTCAATTGCTGTAATAAAAAGTCCATTAAAAATGTCAATAAATTTCCTAGAAGCCATAAAATATTTTTTGGAAAGAAGACAAAACTGATTGAAAAACACAAATCTGTTAGATTTTGTTGCGTATAATTTATTATCAATCTTCGTTATGTTACATCGATTCATCTTTTATTATGCCATATGACTTATTCATTAAGATAACAATTTATTTCAATAAATCATCTTTCAATTTTTTATATTTTATTTTCATTTTCTTTTTAATTTTTATGTAGATATTCCTAATATAATAAAAGCTTTTCATGAAATTTTCTATCGTTTTTATTTTATTCAAAGTCCATCGAGAACCGGGTGTTAGAAAAATCAGAAATAAACTGCAGATTGACGCGTTATGAAGTGTTTAAAGGGGGGAAAAAGAAAAGCAAACTGAATCTGAAATTCGTTCGAAATGTTTATCTTAAAAAATTCACTTAAATCCTCTTCACATTCTGCTGATGTGAATCTGAAGAGATATATCAATAAAGCGAACTAAAATAAACACTCGAATAGTGTTTGTGTGTGTATGTTTGTGATGTGAGGTTCCAGTATTATATTAAACTATGGTGTGGTAGTCGAGACTAGAAGGTTCGTTCGAAAAACCTCAAAACTCAATTTCGCTTCTAGACTGTTGTTTTGGGGTTTGAAACGAAATGAAAACTTCACCAAAACCAAATATTTTTGTTTTTCATCTTAATTAGGATTTTAAAATATTGTAAGCATAAATCTCGGTTCTCAAACATAATCTCCAATGAACAAATTTCTCTTTAAAATGAGAAATTTTAGTTCTGTTTATCTAATTTCTAAAGAAAAATTAGCAACAAAATGAAATGTTTTCATAAGTGAGTTTGTAATGTGCAGTAACAGAAGGAATGTGATGAGAATGAAGGCGGATTTGTGATGATAAAGTTTTCAAAATGTATAAGTAATGCGTCTGAAATTTGGAATCTTCTTCATATTATTACGATGAATAAATTCAAACTTTTCATGGAAAATCTCTTTCAATAACTCATGTGGAGATTCTAAATTTGGTCCAAAAATAAATATTTTGATTACTTTCATCATAAACTTTATTTTCATATAATTTTTCATGCAATCATCACAAGAGTATTTTCCATTAAATAAATGTTTTCGAGCATAAATTTTAATCGGTTTTTCTATTCGTTTCACTTTCTCTCTCGATATGCTTAGAGATTTAGATTAGGGAAGTTTCGTAAGTTGAGGAAAGATTAATTCTGTCAGGTGTCAATTAATGTTCTTAGAAAGATTTGTGTAGTCAGTAAACAGCTTTTGGTTTAACAATCATAAAAACATGCAAGATAAATGTGGGCTTTAAAAAAAGCTTTTAAGCACCATAGGATGAGAAAATCTAGTTCGAATTATACGACACAACTTACGAAAATTCCTTCAAACAATTCCATTATTTTTTCATACATCAAAGGAAAGGAAATAAAATCCTCTGACTTAATTGAAAAGCAAAGTTGAATCTCTTGAGTGTAGGGAATTTTGAAAAGCTTCTCATTTTATTTTTCTTCTTGCTCTTCAGTGCTCATATGCGAGCTTTACACAAAAATCCTTCTCATGGCTGGGCAACTAACATTAGAAATCCATAACACAAGCTAATTTCATTTTAATTGAAAAGAGTAAATAAAAAAACAAGCGCAAAATGTTTGACAAAGACCAAATGAACTATAAATAATTAGAAATATAAAAAGTTGTGACCAATCCCTTTTTAATGCGCTTTCGAATGTATTTTCGGATTAAATGCTATTCATTGAAATTCTGATTCGATGGATCGATGCGAGGATACAACTGTGGAGAGATTAGAAATTAAAACTTCCGCTAAATTGAAGAAATCAATTAAAACTCACTCCAAAAAGATTTCTAGGCACGTAACCTTCATGACCAGCTTCGTTCCTAGCCCACCACCACTCACGTTCAGCCTCATCTCCTTTACGTAATATTGTCAACTTGTCGTTGACGCTAAATTTAAGCTCATCCGGCTGTTGAGCATCGTATGAGAATACGGCATAAACCTCTCCATTGTGAAGAATGCCGAGCTTCTCTTGAATACCTTTAGGATAGAAAATAATTGTGTCAGAGCAAACGACAAATGGAGGTGCGGTCGTGACTTACTATATAAATATTCCGAGCAACCATCAAAGCCCTCTTCATCCTCTTCACATTTCTCGGCCGGCGTTTCATGATCTGAGAGGGTCGAAGCAAATAAACAAGCACCTGATTCAACTAGAAACTTCACCATTGCGAGATTGTTGCAAGATGCTGTAAAAAAATTATTTTTAATTGAAAAATTAAAATGGAAATGTTTTATTCACTTACCAGCACAATGAAGTGGTGTCCAACCGTCGGAATCTTGAGCGTTAACATCGCACCCAAATTGCACGAGGAATCTAAATTTACACAAAAAAAAATTATAAACTTATTTTAAATAGAAAATTTAGTTAAATTACTTGACGATTTCCAAATGACCAGCACAAATTGCATTATGAAGTGCGGTGATTCCTTCATCATTAGCTGCACTAGGATTCGTGACTTGCATAGCTGTTTTCTTAACCAACTCAAGTTCACCTTCCAAGCTTGCATCAAGAAGAAGCGCTAATGGATCAAAACTAACACGTCGTGCCAATTTCGCTTTTACATTGTCTCCGATAATGTTTCGTTTTCGTCTTACAATACTTTCAACAACCGATGGCTTTTCATCTTGCACTGGTGTTGAAGATGGCGTAATTGATTTGTCGGTCTCATCGTTACTAGTAACGCTGCCATTATCTTGATTATTGTTTAAGTTGATTGCGCCATTCACCAATTTACTGATGATCGACGTTTGATTCACGCTGTTGCCATTAAAGTCATTACTATTGTCCTTCAATTCGGCTGTTGCGATTTCGGGAAAGAGAAAGGCGGGTGGCATTTCAATGCGTCGTGATGCTGTGTATTGGATTGTCTTCGGATTTGAATTGAGTGATCGAAGTTTTGGTTGTTCCGACAGCGGCTGTTTCTTGATTGTCAATGGCTTTGCCTTAATCGGTAAATTGTTGTTTTCATTACTATTTGTTGCAGCATCACCTTCATTTATAAGCTGCTGTTGTGATTGCTGATGATTGTTTGTGTTTCCATTATTGTTATTTTTATTCGGCTTCGGTGGAAGTGCTGGTCTCGACTTATCATTCTCACTTACAGAAGTAATCGGCGCTTGAATGTTGTTATTTGGTGCAACCATATGAACTTTTGGTGCTTGTGAAATTGTTTTTGGTGCGAGTGTGATTGATGTAGGAGCGACACTGCTTATAGGCTTTCTCGGCGGTACGACTAAATTTCCTGACGGTATTTGATGTATAGCTTTTGGTTTGATGGCTGGTTTCTCTTCTGTTATTGTCGAACTGTTCTGTACTGCTTCCGCTACAGACTTGTTGATGGCATTCAATGGCGTGCTGCTGGCAATTTGTGTTGAACTTTTGGGACTTTCATTAGTCGACATTTCTCCCGCCTTCTCACTGTCACATTCATTGGCTTTCACAGTGGTAGCGTTTGCAGACAACACTGACGATATAATTTTGTGTGATACAAGACTGCTACTGCCGACATTCAAGTTATTGTTGGCAACATATTTGTAAGGCAATGTTTGGCTTTTCGGCTCATTTTTCTTTCCATTCATGTCGTTTGTTGATGGGACACTTGTTGTTGATGGTGACGATGTCGGATGGGGGACCGTTAAGGGCTTTGTTTGCTTCTCGTTATTGCTGTCCGCAATGTCCTTAGCTTGATGGCTTTGAGCGTCATTGCTTCCATTCTTCATCAATATCCCTTGGCTTTGTTGAAGTTCATGTTGTTGACGTGCCAGCTTTGACTCATCACTTTCGGCCGACAATATACCCGTCGGGCTATGCTGCTGCTGCTGTTGTTGTTGCTGTTGTGATTTTAACTTTAACATGGCTAAATCTTGTATGATTTGTTGATGTTGTTGATTCGATGACGTCATGGATGTGGATTTTTGTGGTGTATGATTATATGGCTCAACGGCCGCAACATTTCCCCGAATATTCTTTTGCGGTGGATAAATGTGTGTTGATGAAGATCTATGAAGCGTAAAACAGTGGCGTAAATGAAGTAGAAAAATGGTATTGCGAACGAAAAGGGAGAAAAGTAAGAAAAAAAGAGAATATTAAGTATAATGGCACAGCAATAATCATTTGTTATAAGGCGTAAGGTGAATTATTTTTATGGAATTTCTCTCTTAAGTAAAAAAGGCCCGTCATGGTCTTAGGCTAGGCGTCTTAGTCGTCCCAAGAAGCATACGAACCAAGCAGTTATGTTAAGATTCGTGAAAAGATTATGAATGTAAGAAAACATTCGAACTTAGAAGATGAAAATTTCTTAACATCACTGCTAAGAGAAAGAATGAAGAAGAGAAAAATTTCATCACATACGATGAAGGGCAAAGAAAGAAGATTGCGCAATTGTAACGATATGAGCATAATACAAGCAATTTTGTTATTTACCTGACGTGAATATTCGCCGGTTGAACATTAGATGGATTTGTAACATTTGTTCCATTCTGTTGTTGCTGTTGTTGAAGAAGATTTGATGCCTTCTTGCGATGCAAACGACCTTGAAGTTCGAGTATTCTTTGATCTACTGAACGCAATTCTGCTTGACGTTGCTGTAATGCTTCACGTTGGAGATGAAGTCGAGCATCTTGTTGCAATGACAGTTGATTGCGATACTGAATTATAATTACAAAAAGAAGGAATTTATTTACATTTTATTAACTAATATAATCATTAATTATTTTACCATTAACTCTCTTCGCAGTTTTTCCAACTCACGAGCTGCTTGCGATGGTGGTTGTTGATTATTTCCATTGTTTGTAATCAAACTTAATCCACGACGATCTCTTCGCAATTCTTCTAATTGTCTCGTAAGAGCTTCAACCTTAGCTACAGCAAGACTAAGCTCTTTTTCCTTCTCACTAAAAAGGGCACGAATGGAGTCCAAATCATTGCCTAAAAGAAAGATTAAAGTGTAAGCACCAATTAATTAAAAGCGAGAAAGGAAATCGAAAAACAGCGAATCATCTGACAGATAATTTAATTGGATATATCTTGTTAGGCTAGTTGCGCGTTATAAGTCACGAGATTTAATGTACGAAGTGTTCAGAGTTTCGAAAGGATCAAAGACCTCGAAAAATCTCCAACATTTTAAGTAAAAAATTAATTCGCAAATTCGTCATGATTTCTTTCTTACGAAACCCTCGTAACAACAACCTTAGGCATCTACTTGATTAATTATGAAACATTCACACGCTCCATCTATAATATGTGTAAGATAGAGTCCATTGAGAATAACGACGTTGAAAGTAATTTCTTTAATTAAATATGACATGTTGAAACAACCAATGAAAATATCAACGCCATCAAAATGGACGTCATGTTGTGAACGATGGAAATGAAATGAACTCGTATTATCATCCTTCTCATCAATGCCCCTGTTAGTTTGCTTAAGGAATTATGTTCGTCAGCTCCGTCTTTGTTACACTCCGCAGCCATAAAAATTCTTTCACATATCTTTTGTTAATCTCTCTGAACCTTGACGCTTTGAACATTAAAAGCAGAAAAGCAGAATGTTGAATCCGCTTTGACTTTATATAAGATTGAATGTAAAGAGATAACTATAACGAGTTGAATCTTATGCAATTGTTGGATGAGAAATGCAATGAAAAAAGATTTTCTACGATATGATATCAAGTTACAGCATTTCTGTTCCAAAGCGGTAGATACTCTCAAATTCATTTAATTAAACTTTTTACAAAACTTGGATATACATTGAAAATACGATTATAAATCACGTCACGTTAATATGACTAATGTTCATCTGCCAATTTGGTTGACATCTAAATATACGAATCATGACACAGATTTCATTCCCTCAAATTTCCGAAAGGAAAACTCATGCCAGCAAAAATTTGATTTATTTCTCGAGAAACAAAAGGAAATAGACAGAAAGAAAAGTTTAATTGTCTTCGTTGGAAGTTTTTTGTTCTTTTTCTTTCTTATGTCGACCCATCGAAGGGAATTTCGGAGAAAATCTAACCTAAAACGCAAACAAAAATTTTTTGCTCTTTTTGTTTGTCTTCTGTTTTAGTTTTGTCTTTGAAATGAAACTTTCATAATTTGAGTTTAGTAATCTTTTCTGCCCTGTACGTATTAATTGAATAAAAGTTGTGAAGCAGCTGTGGACACTTTTTTTCTGATAATAACTGACAGTGTGAAAGTTCAACCATAAAATTGCATTTTTTGAATCGAGGAAAAGTTTTTGTGTTAAAGCTTACACCGAACGTTTATTTGTCATGACGAATAAATCATAAAAATGATAGCATAAAAAGCTATTAAGCATTCATAAAAGTCGTTTGATAACGAAAACCAGCAAGAATTCATCGTCATGACAAAGGAGATATCAGCCTTAAGCTAAATCATTTTCCGTCTTATCTTCGGAAATTAAAAAGGAATTTATGCGAAGCTTTTTGTTCTCCTTCCTACTCAACTTTGTAAACGTTCACTTTACATTCTCAATTAAATTTTATCGTTAAAGTTATTGCCAATCTTTTTTGTTTACTTTGTTCGATAATGGGCTGTAAAAATTTGTAAAACTTCTCTTAAGAAATTAAATATTTCTCTTCGAAATAACATCATGTATTTAACATTTAGATTCTTATTAATTATTCTAAGAGATTTGAAAAAGCTTATAATTAACAATTGATTAATTGCGCACGTTCAATATTTATATACAGGTGGGATTATTTATAATCTAGAAATGGAAAAATATTAATGTTGCTAGTTGTCTGACATTATTCATAAAATATTACATTTCCATTTGTTTCAGCTTTCAATAAATACATTAAACAATCTTATGGCTCAATTATTTTAAGCTTTTTTTATTCGCTTAATCAGAAGTTGATTGAAATTAATAGTGAAGTAATTATTTAAACCTCATTTCGAGTTAAATCAACATTTTGAAGTAATTTCCATATGGTAATTATTTGAACGATGGTTGGTTGCGAGTTTAATACTCGCTTTGGAAATTATTTACACGCAAAAACCACATGAAGATAAAGTTAGAACAAGAACTTTGATCATGATATGGAAAACATCACATAGATAATGTGAATTCTAGCATAAGACATTGAAAAGCGTTTCATTCAGTCAGCTTTTGTGTCCCGTAGGAAAGCAAAAGCCAACACCTACAATAACATAAATTTTGTATGTTTATGAGCTGAATTAGGTTTTGAATAACATTTGAAAAGCTCCCCAGGCTCAAATTGCGAAATGTTTTCTTTAAGATTTCTCATGTTTAAGTACGAAAAACGGCAAGCGCTTATTTGTTGGTGTAATAAAACGATCTAGTGGGAGTCGGATGATGGATTATGTTGGTGTTCAGGAAAGGAAGATTTATACTTTATCGGAAGTGATTACGTGATGATACAGACAAAAAGTTTTAAGGAGCTCTATGAATAGAAGCAACTCATCTACGTTTAGCCGACATTATCCTCTCATCGGATCTGCAATTTAATTTACTTCCATCATCAACTTTTTTTCCTTCTTCCGAACTTCAATATGAATTTTGTTATATCTATGCTTACATGTAGCAAGCATAATTTTGACCCAAAATCCTTTTTTCATAGCAAAGAAAGAAGTGACGCCCGATCGATTTTCTCATAAAAATTTAGATAAAAATTCTTTTCAGCGTTCCCATTCTCCAGTCATTCACATAACTGATATGCGCTAAAGTTCTTCTTTCTTTCCTATTCAACGTGGTGACGTCGTTGCTTTCAAAAGATAATCCAATATTCTTATGTGACTGATGATTAAGCAGATGAGCCTTTTATGACTTGTGATAAAAAGGTTTGGAACTTTACAAAGAAATGCGATGAAAGTTGATGGAAAATGTTTCCTTCACATTCAAATTTAAAATCAAATAAAATTTCATGACTAAGTAAATTTTTGAGGTTTCAGAACGATTATTTATTCAAACGAAGAAGTTTGATGTGTGTATGTACAAGAATTGTTGAAAACTTTCACATTCAACCTGTTGTGGTTATTTTTGGATGAACACTGAAGTGAAATATTTAAATAATTCAAAGACTTTATTTCGCATCATACGTAAAACACCTAGAAGCACATACGATAAAGTGAAAGCATAACAATAAGATGCATAATAATATTGCGTCATGTTTCTAATACAACAAAATTCTCTCCATAAGACTTTGTAATAAGATTGAAGCAATTTAAAATAATGTACAAGAATTGCTTTCTTTGTTGAAGGAAATTGTATCAAGAATTGATGCCAATGAAATATTCAGAGTCGAAGCTTCCAACTTTCTTCTATCAATGAAAAAAACATGAGGGACAATTCGTTTCAATTACACTCTCAAGAAAAGCTTACGATGTTTTAAAAGAGCTTTCTATCCTCCTAGCTTCGTTAATCTTCTTAGCTTCCATCCATTTCAAATTGTTTCGATATGTGGCAAGTTTGTTTGTTTGTATTTGACTTGAAATTGAAACGGACATAAAATGAATTTCCTTCAACTTTATTGCTCGTAAGTTTACTTTTCGATACAGATCTTTCTCAACACAACCCCGAAACGCCCACTACAAGACACTGGAATTGAAATTTATGAGGTGAGAAAAAAGGGCTTTGAAAGCAATAAATTGAGAAATAAATTTGATAGTAGGACAGCTTCGACGTCGGATTACTTGCGCATCAGCTCTCGAGAATCTTTTTAAGGATGAAAAAAGTTTTAATTAATCTACAAATAACTTTTCGTTCATAACGTCCCTTGAGAATATTAAATGAAACCTGATTTAAAACCTTTCATTGAGAATCAATGAAAAACTTTTCTACAGATTATTGAATGAAATTGATTCCCAAAGCGAGAGATTTAGTACGAAAGATAGAAAAACTTTTTCCAACATGCTTCCTTCGCACACCATAAATCAAGAGCTTTGATTTCGATGAGACTTTTTAGGTAGAGAATGCGGCGAGAGATAATTTTAACTCGCTGATAGTTTTGAAATTAGTTTTCATCCCCAAAGTGCTTCATCAGAATTAAAAATCAATTCAAGTTTATGGATGAAGTCATAAAAAACTTAACCAAAAGTATTTAATTTGTCGGTACTTTTATAGCGCCACAGCATTTAAAAACAATTTAATTGCCAAATATAATTAATTTTTAATTTTCATCTTTATTTTGTTTAATCCGCGATAATTAAAATTCTTACAAACCATCATTTGCTAATGAGGGTCATAAATGTGCTTCATTATTTATTCATGATGATAATTTAATTAATATCGAACGCGTTTTACGCGCTGAAAACCAACAGAAAGTTGATAAATGAAGAGCACAACGCGTTATGTTTATCGAGTGATGCTTAAATGGCTGTTGTGGTTCGTATAATGAAATCTGATCTTTAATTATCTTGCTTATTGTTTGTTTCCATCACGACACAATAACAATGCTCAGATTTCACTTCTATTGATATCAATATAGATAAATTATAAGACGAGATATGTTTTCTCGGATAACTCAAATATTTTTGTTTCCTTTTGCTTCATAAAAACATTTTCTTGTGGCTTTTTTGTTTATTGAATCATTCGACATTGTTCAAGAATTCTATGAAATCACCACAATTTAAGAAAAAAATCAATTCAATCTAGCGAAAAATACGATTCAAGGTCAAAATATTTGTTTGTTGAGTCAAAACCAGAACTTTGTCGAGCAGGGCGATAAATAATTGTGCGAGATGTTTAAACATTGTGGAATGTTTTTCGTTGTGGTCATGACAACAAAGATTTGGATTTGAATTTCAATAATCTCATGTTACCGAAGAATACAATCACAAGAATTCTCGGGATAATGCTGAAACATGAATATGATGATTGATATAATCAAAAACTCATCACATGGAGAACGTTTGTCTCGGAATCTTGGAAGAGATTGAGTCATCATCAAAGATTGTGACAACAGCTTGATCATCAAGAAAGTTTTATTGTCTTTCTTCTTTTTTCTTGCCAAACTGTTTTTTCTATCAAAATCTCTGTGATTTCTAAATAATTGCGCAATTAAATTGTCGACATCCATGATGATCCGACGTGTTGGGTCGAGAGTTCAATATCACTTCTCAAATCATTGCTCAACATTTTTACTTTTTTCGAAACATTTCAACAAGCGAAGCAAAAAATATCCAACAATTATGATCGATGGTGTTGTAGAAAAGTTTTAATTTGATGAATTATTATTAATTTTTTACTTACTCAGTGTGACGTTGTAAGTTTTTTGTAAATCAACTTGTCCTCTCAACGCCCTTAGCCGACGAAGTTTTGACTCTTGAGCCTCAACACGTTCTCGCAGACGACGCAATCTTTCGCCTTCTGCCGCCGCTGCGGCACCTCGAGCCTCTTGTGCTTTCAAAAATCGTAATCTCTGCTCTTTAGCAGCCAACAACTGATGTTGGGAATCGATTTGTTGCTGCTGTCTTAAAGCCATTGCCTTTAATTCGGCAGCACTTGGCCTAACAGGCACCTGCAAAGATAAAAGAGAAATGAAAATCAGCTTCAACATCAAATACGAATTTTCTTATTATTTTTAATAAAAATCGACGAGTCGTACTCGCATATTGTCTTCGAAGGGGAGAGACAGAAAATTTATGCGAGAAAAGGGAGAAAAAAGGATTTTTCATGTCTTCAGCATGTTTATAAGGTTCAAAATGTTTTTCCATTCCATCGTCTGAGAATTCTTGACAATGCTTGTACACGACAATTCATTATTTGAGCGTATCCCAACCCCCCCAACAGCTTTTGTACATGCGGTGCTTTCAATTTATTGACGATCAAAGCGTTATTTACTTGTCACAGAAGTGATCAACGCACCGTCTTAGTCGTCGGCAGCTACTGAACATTATTGGGCCACCAAATGAACGACGTTCACGTTTGAGTTTATCGACTCTTATCCGATATCGATTGAATCAACCTTCACAACGTGAACATATTTGAAATTTCTCCCTTCACAATTCGTGAATAAATCTTTGGGTTGATTGCAAAACCTTCCGGGAAATTGAAAGAGAGTCGATAAGTGAAATGAAATTGAAGAACAGAAAATCAATTTACATCTTAGGAAAGCTTTCCGAAAGGTCATTTTCATTGATAGATTATAAATGCGAGTTAAATCGTTCAACAACTTCAAAGAACTCGAAAGAAACTTTCATCAGAAATTCTTCCCAAACAATTTCGTAGGAAAATTCAATTTCTGATGTCAGACACAAATTCCATGTCGACGAGTAGCTTCATAAGTTAAACATGAATCAATATGTATTTAGAACAAATTCTCATAATTTCACAGCAAAGCTTTGGGCTTCCACCTTGCGGTGAACAAGAAAAATCAATGAGCATAAAAAATTGACGAAATCGTTGTTGGTTGTTCGTGCGTCAAATGAACGGTTGAGAGTCGAGTCGATTCTTTGTATGTTGTGTGTTTGCAGTTAGCAGTTGGCAAGTAAAATGAACATTCATGTCTAAGCCGGAAGGGATTCGCAATGAAATCATGATGAACATGACCTTCAATCAGTAAGAAGCGCGTTTGGAACGATGTTTGATCAATAAATTTCAACCGCCGCATTCGCTAAATATTTCCCTTAAAGCTGAAACTACATAATCGCTAATGAACTGAAACTTCAAATCGCTTCACTTTATGTAAATGGAGCGACTTTAAAAGAAACTCAAATGAATTCTGACGGAAATCTTGAAGTTTAAAGCTAATGAAAATCATTTCAAAGAATCTTGTCTCAAATAATTTAAGCAGTCAAAGTCTTCGTGGAATAATTAAAGATGGAACAAAAGACGTGACGAGGTGAAACATGTTATGTGCTTTCTTATTCTTCAGTGATTTCCACGATATGATGAGNAATGATTTTGCGGCTTGAGATGATAACAAAAAACGTTTTCGGTGGGAATGAAACGTATTTGCAGCAAACCTCGATTGATTTCCTTCTACGAACTCTCAGAAGATTATTAAACTTCAAACTATTTAAGGAAATGAACTAATGGAGAATGTTTGCCAATAATGTAAACAAGAAAGCTTTTCAAAATTAATTAAAGAAGTTTAATGTTCGTTATTCTGAAGAATTTCATGCTCGAATTATTCTCAAACCCTTTCCCATTCCACTCTCGTTAGTCTTGAAGATTAACATCTTTAATTTCTAAATGGTTGAAAATGGTTAAGCGTCAAATTGTCGTCTAGAGCCTCTCTTGAGTGACTTATGGAACCAACTTCGCATTATCGCACAGTCTTTCTCATTTCCAACTCCTTCGCATCTCATTCTCAACTTAAATTTCCGGAATAATCTGCGATGTCTCACTAAATGAAAATCATGACACAGAATCAACGGTTAATTAAAACACGAGACAAACTTCTCATTTCCATCGTTAAGCATTCACGCAGATCTCCAGTAAAACTAAATTTTCTTAAGCTTTTCATTATCATTATTAAAAGTTTTTAGAAATATTAAACTTAAAAGAACAATATTAAGTCCATCTTAAAAGCTTCATCAAATGTCAAAACTTGTTAATAGCAGCCAAGCTGTAATGAGTTTCGGTTTAATAAAGCAACTAAATTTTTAATATTATTAAACAGAAATTCTGACGTTTTCACCTAATTCAATTAAATTTTCTTACTCATCTTATCAAATCACGATAACTGACTCAATACTTATTAAATAATCTTCAGATTGCTTAAACATCATTTTCAATTTTTCTTGGGAATTTTTAAGCACGTAAAGATGTATTGATAACCTTCTTGACATTATTAAATCCTTCACAATGCATTGCGGTTCGTAAAAGATATCAATCTGAACAGCAAGCAACCCAACAGTTCGTGCTCAAACAAAAGGAAATTATCAAAGAAAAGAATTCTTTAAAAAGCATTTCATGAAAACTAACTGAAGCATCATGATTAGTCTAAGTTATCCTCTCAATGCGGTCGGAAATTCAATTTATTTCTATCATCAACATTTTTGTCATTCGTTGTGAGTTTTATGATGGGTTATGGCGCATTAAAGCAAGAATAATCTTGACCCATAATCCTTTCTTCATGGCACAATAGAAGAAATGAGATGTCCATCGATTTTCCCGTAAAAATTCAGATGAACTCTTCCTCGTTTTCCATAAGAAGGAAATTTCTTCAATTTTCATTTCTTTCCTGACGAAAGATGAAGTTCTCAAGCGACGTAATCTGATCTTCTTATGAATGCGATGATTGAACGTTTGAGCAATTTTATTTCCATCTCTGATAAAATAAATTTGAAGAGCTTTCAGTTTTGGATTTAAGTAAATCTTGATTTGTTGAATAAATTTTTTCTAATGAGAAATGAGAAAAGAAATGTGTTGAATTTCAACAGCTGATCCTTAGGAAATCCTAAAATAAAATGACGAAATTATTAAAAGAAAGCCTCAAGTTAACATTGAAAATTCTAAGAATTCCAAATCTCTGAACTTTCAGACACGTTTTATGTAAGCTCAACATGAAATTTATTAGCTTTCAATGATTTTATGTTTAGGTTTACTTGGGGATCGAACTGGATGTAAAATATGTTGCTTCGATTTTAATGCTCCCTTGTTTGCTTTGGGACTAAAATCCTTTTTGAAGATTACCAAGCAGCCCAAAACAGAAAAAAGAAATCTACAAGACTCAAAATTGAAGTTTATGAGGTGAAATAATAAGGATTTGAAGGAAATATATTTATTACTGTCACAACTTAACCCGCATATTGCTTGCGCATCAACTGCCATTAGCAATTAAAGTTTTAATTAGTTTGAGGAAAGTTTTTACTTTTAATGGATTCCCATTAGAAATTTAATTTTAAACACTGGTAATTTGTTTAGAAACAAAAGTTCTTTTTAATAAATTCTCTTAACGAGATTGAAATTGTTGAATTTAAAACAATTTGTTTGTCAACTGTGATACTTGCTAACTTTGAACCTCTTGGGCTGTTATCTTTTATAACCATGACAAAGTAGTGAAAGACAGCAATCAAGAATAGAAGCAGAAGGTCTTGATATGAAGAAATTTGGAAATGATGTTGGAATCGATTTGTTGCTGCTGTCTTAAAGCCATTGCCTTTAATTCGGCAGCACTTGGCCTAACAGGCACCTGCAAAGATAAAAGAGAAATGAAAATCAGCTTCAACATCAAATACGAATTTTCTTATTATTTTTAATAAAAATCGACGAGTCGTACTCGCATATTGTCTTCGAAGGGGAGAGACAGAAAATTTATGCGAGAAAAGGGAGAAAAAAGGATTTTTCATGTCTTCAGCATGTTTATAAGGTTCAAAATGTTTTTCCATTCCATCGTCTGAGAATTCTTGACATTGCTTGTACACGACAATTCATTATTTGAGCGTATCCCAACCCCCCCAACAGCTTTTGTACATGCGGTGCTTTCAATTTATTGACGATCAAAGCGTTATTTACTTGTCACAGAAGTGAACAACGCACCGTCTTAGTCGTCGGCAGCTACTGAACATTATTGGGCCACCAAATGAACGACGTTCACGTTTGAGTTTATCGACTCTTATCCGATATCGATTGAATCAACCTTCACAACGTGAACATATTTGAAATTTCTCCCTTCACAATTCGTGAATAAATCTTTGGGTTGATTGCAAAACCTTCCGGGAAATTGAAAGAGACTCGATAAGTGAAATGAAATTGAAGAACAGAAAATCAATTTACATCTTTGGAAAGCTTGCCGAAAGGTCATTTTCATTGATAGATTATAAATGCGAGTTAAATCGTTCAACAACTTCAAAGAACTCGAAAGAAACTTTCATCAGAAATTCTTTCCAAACAATTTCGTAAGAAAATTCAATTTCTGATGTCAGACACAAATTCCATGTCGACGAGTAGCTTCATAAGTTAAACATGAATCAATATGTATTTAGAACAAATTCTAACAATTTCACATGAAAGCTTTGGGCTTCCACCTTGCGGTGAACAAGAAAAATCAATGAGCATAAAAAATTGACGAAATCGTTGTTGGTTGTTCGTGCGTCAAATGAATGGTTGAGAGTCGAGTCGATTCTTTTTTTGTTGTGTGTTTGCAGTTAGCAGTTGGCAAGTAAAATGAACATTCATGTCTAAGCCGGAAGGGATTCGCAATGAAATCATGATGAACATGACCTTCAATCAGTAAGAAGCGCGTTTGGAACGATGTTTGATCAATAAATTTCAACCGCCGCATTCGCTAAATATTTCCCTTAAAGCTGAAACTACATAATCGCTAATGAACTGAAACTTCAAATCGCTTCGCTTTATGTAAATCGAGCGACTTTAAAAGAAACTCAAATGAATTCTGACGGAAATCTTGAAGTTTAAAGCTAATGAAAATCATTTCAAAGAATCTTGTCTCAAATAATTTAAGCAGTCAAAGTCTTCGTGGAATAATTAAAGATGGAACAAAAGACGTGACGAGGTGAAACATGTTATGTGCTTTCTTATTCTTCAGTGATTTCCACGATATGATGAGTTAAAAGCAAAGCTGTTTAACTTCGTCATAAACACTTCCAACGTGAATTTTAAGACTGCTTCTGAGAGTTTACTTGAGTGAAATGTTGATGTCGGTAAGGAAATTATTTGCCTAAGAGTAAAGTAAACATCGCAAAGCATATTGAAGTGACGTCGGTTAAGGTAGCAGAAGGTTGAGAAAGTAAACAGACAACTTGTTTGAAATTGATTCGCTTTTAATGCCATTGCGTGTCAATTCTGATCGATTGTCACACGCGAAATACAAACAGCGAAAAATATTGAAATCTAAAAGCGAAATTCAATCTTAAATGTCGATATAAAAGATTATTTTTTTCCAATTTTAAAAAGCAAACAAAATTGAACTCAAAATATTTGATATTCAATAAAAGAAAAAAGATTTTGATCTCAGTATTTATCTACCTGTGGATTTTGATTAACGATTGGCTTTGCCGTTCCAATCTTTGTCTTAGGCTCCGATGTGACTACGATTTGATCCCGATCGATTGGTGCACCCATGATTGATTGTTTATCGATAAATGAACTCGAAACGGGACGACAAACACAAGTTAACATATTAATTTAACACAATTCCAAAAGCGATGAACTCGAGGCTTGAAGCTTCACTTTCCTTCTTTCCCGTTTCGTTTATTTTAACAAATTTAATGTCATTAAAGTTTTATTTTTATAATAAGCAGTTCAATATATTTTTAGTTAGAATTTCGATTTAATTCGTTGCACGACGCAAGTCTTATAAAATATTTACTCGTTTCGTATTCATTTTTGAAATCTGTAAAGTAAATAAAATATTTTTCTAGCAAATGTTCGGAAATTAAATCATCATCGAATACTAAACAGCTCGTGAATAAACCGTAAAGTGTTCTTGAAATAAATGAAATCATTTCTTGAGCAACACCCTCGCTTTTGTCTCACAAATAAAGTTAAAGATAAACTTGACGATGTTTAGATTTAAAATGTTGTTAAGGCAAGAGCTCTGCCTTAAGCACGAATGATAAACAAAAGCTTTTCCATCTCGATTACGATAATCTTTTGTTTAAAATTGCCTCGCGCAATGAAACTGAAACTTTTTAATTGAGTTTCAAAGAAAACTGTGCAGACACCGAGAGAGAAATCTTTTGTGCAAAACTTTCTGCATTAATGAAATCTTTCATCAAAGATCTTTAAGTGAAATTGTAAATTAATTTAAATTGAATGAAGAATCGTTGAATTGATTAGGAAAATAATAAAAAGAAATTGAAGTTGAATGATGAGATTAAATGTATTGAATCTTCGATTCGACTTCATGATGATTGTTCGCAAAATTGAAATCGTTGGCTTTACTGTCATGATACAATGCCAGCTTCTGTTGCTAAGCAAACTTTCTTGATTATTCATGACAAGCAATAAAACAGATTGCGAAGATAGAAAATCTTCTTATCACTCGGAAACGGAAACCAAATCTAAAGATTTTCCGTCTTTCTTTCCGATTCTCATTCTTTCATTGTCGATGTTGCTTTTATTCAGGTATACATCAACAACTTAAAGTTAAGTAACATTTTACATCGTCATGTTAAAGCAAAAAAGGAAGAAAAGGCCAAGAAATCAAATTTATTTGATTTTTATTCAACTCAAATCGAAGCAACAAGTTCGTTCGGGTCATGAAACTTCTCTAATGTGCTTCTCTCGTTGTTGAGATTTCTCTACGACACAAGACAGATGGGACATGACAAAGTTTTATGTGTAATGGTCCATAAAAAGCAACAATGATGCCAGTCGCTTTTCCAAACGATAAAGAAAAAAAATAAAAATCACTAAACGCCAGGAACAAATAAACTTTGAATATCTTTGCACATTCTTTACAATTGCTTAAGGGAAGGAAGACTTTTGATTCATTTCACATCTTTAAGATTTTTGTTTCCTTTGTTTCATTCACATAGAAATTCATGAAATTTATGATAGCACTACACAAATGATTAATTGGCTTCCTTTAAAAGGCTTTTCTTTTGTTTTTCACGCCATCTCATTGCTCGCTTTTTTTAAGAAAAATAAAAAAAAAATGAAAATCTTTCCATAATCCGAAACAAAAAGGAAACAGAGAAAAAATTGAAGAAAGTTCCAAACAAAAGAATCTTCACGAACTTTTTTTTGTTTTGCTAGAATCTTTTCGTGTTATTTATGGAACGCACAATGTTGGCGTTCGTGGGTAAATCTTCTGTTGTTTATTTCAATGAATTTCGGAAAGACCTCGGGGCATTAATAATGATGAATAAACGTCTAAGACTCAATTAATCATCGGATGAAAAATTCTCAAACGTAGAAAGAAAGAAATGTTGGAGATTTTCGTTTTTATAACTAAGCTTAGGTGTTAAAGTGACTCGGTGGAAGAATGCGCAGAGTTTAATTGAATATCGATGGCATTAAATGTAAAAGCTGCCTGTGAACAAGAAGCGAGGAAAATGATGATTAATTGAGGTATTGTAGACGTCGCTTAGGTGGGGAAAAGGTTGACGAATTCATAGACGCGCCCGCTAGATTGATTGTTTAATGCCCCAAAATATGTTTTTCGTGGGAATTGAGGCTTTGAACCTTTCATGGGTCTTACTCACTAAACTTGCGGTTAATGGAAATAAGCAAGAGAGAAATTGGAGGATGGAATTCCAAATATTTAGAAAGGGAAACCAAGGATTTTCGAATTGAAAGCAAAATTTCTTAGCAACACTAATGATCAGTGATGTGATGAACTAAAAGTCTAAAATATTCAGTTCACGAAAAATGTTTCTAATTTAAATTTCTTCACGATTTCAGTTGATTACTTTCACTGTAATATCTGTCAGAGAAGCATAATTAAAGAACATGAAAACGCTTAAAAGAGTTCATTGCTTTTAAGTTAAGCTGCAAGACATTTAAAAACCTTTTTCATGATTGTTTAATGTTTAAAAGTCGCACCAGCAACAGACTCTTCTTCTCTTTAATTGCTTTTATTTTCAGTTTAAAGACACACAAAAAGATCATGAAATGAAATCGTTAATTACAGTAAAGCTATGTTTAAATGAAGCAATTAATCAAGCATGGGAAAGCGTCTAAATACTCGTTAAAGAAAAACTTTTTCCATGAAATTTTAAGCTACGAAGAATATTTTATTCAGTTGAATAAATTCTTCAAAGTTTTTCTTGTTTATTTATTTTTGTAGATGCTTTAAAATTGACGAGAAATTTTTCTTGCTTCTCACGAAACTTTTCAGACAAATTTTCCCTTGAGTGGGCAAAGTTAAACAAACTTCGGTCGTCATTACTTGTGACTTCTTCAACATCTTTTAATATTTATCTTTGATCGCTTTGACGTTATTATTGCATAATAATTTATGTTTCCCATGTTTTACTCGATCGATTTTCTTGTTCAACTCGTTAGTTACTGCGAGTGTATCGTAAAGGAAGTGAAAAATATTTNAATCTTTGGGTTGATTGCAAAACCTTCCGGGAAATTGAAAGAGAGTCGATAAGTGAAATGAAATTGAAGAACAGAAAATCAATTTACATCTTAGGAAAGCTTTCCGAAAGGTCATTTTCATTGATAGATTATAAATGCGAGTTAAATCGTTCAACAACTTCAAAGAACTCGAAAGAAACTTTCATCAGAAATTCTTTCCAAACAATTTCGTAAGAAAATTCAATTTCTGATGTCAGACACAAATTCCATGTCGACGAGTAGCTTCATAAGTTAAACATGAATCAATATGTATTTAGAAAAAATTCTCATAATTTCACAGCAAAGCTTTGGGCTTCCACCTTGCGGTGAACAAGAAAAATCAATGAGCATAAAAAATTGACGAAATCGTTGTTGGTTGTTCGTGCGTCAAATGAATGGTTGAGAGTCGAGTCGATTCTTTGTATGTTGTGTGTTTGCAGTTAGCAGTTGGCAAGTAAAATGAACATTCATGTCTAAGCCGGAAGGGATTCGCAATGAAATCATGATGAACATGACCTTCAATCAATAAGAAGCGCGTTTGGAACGATGTTTGATCAATAAATTTCAACCGCCGCATTCGCTAAATATTTCCCTTAAAGCTGAAACTACATAATCGCTAATGAACTGAAACTTCAAATCGCTTCACTTTATGTAAATGGAGCGACTTTAAAAGAAACTCAAATGAATTCTGACGGAAATCTTGAAGTTTAAAGCTAATGAAAATCATTTCAAAGAATCTTGTCTCAAATAATTTAAGCAGTCAAAGTCTTCGTGGAATAATTAAAGATGGAACAAAAGACGTGACGAGGTGAAACATGTTATGTGCTTTCTTATTCTTCAGTGATTTCCACGATATGATGAGTTAAAAGCAAAGCTGTTTAACTTCGTCATAAACACTTCCAACGTGAATTTTAAGACTGCTTCTGAGAGTTTACTTGAGTGAAATGTTGATGTCGGTAAGGAAATTATTTGCCTAAGAGTAAAGTAAACATCGCAAAGCACATTGAAGTGTCTTAGAACGTTAGTAAAAAAGGTTGTGAAAACGAGAAATGTAAACAAATGTGTGATTCGAATTGATTTTAGTTTCCATTTCATTCGATTTGGTTGAATAAATTTACCACAATCATGTTTGAAAGAAATTTACGTTAAAAGTATTAAATTTATTGCTTAGATAAATTTTACTTTTGATGACATCAAGACAAAAGGATTGAAATGAGAGAATAACAAAAATCTAAAACTCAAAAAGCTTTTTTACGATTGAAATTCAAGACACAAAACTCTTTGCTTCATTATGATGAATAAATTTAATTAAATTAATGAAAGCATTTCCACAATGCTGAAAGCATTTTCTGTCATAAGCTTCTCTTTTGTTTAATACATCACAAAATTTCTTCCACTGCTTTTAATATTCTAAAAAATTTATGAATGGCAGGATGCAAATGAATTCCATTCAGTAAAAGTTGAAAAGCTTCGTTCCATTTAATACTTGCAGTTGCTTAATTAATTAACGCTCTCAGTTGTAATTTTAATTCTCAGACAAATTTTCCCTTGAGTGGGCAAAGTTAAACAAACTTCGGTCGTCATTACTTGTGACTTCTTCAACATCTTTTAATATTTATCTTTGATCGCTTTGACGTTATTATTGCATAATAATTTATGTTTCCCATGTTTTACTCGATCGATTTTCTTGTTCAACTCGTTGTTTAACTGCGAGTGTATCGGAAAGGAAGTGAAAAATATTTTCAATCAAGATCATTGGTGCAGGTTTTTGTTTCTTCTTTCTTGAATTAATTTTCCTAGAGAATAGCGAAAGAAAGAAAAGAAACTGAAGTTGGAGCTGTAAACAAACTGAACAAGATTCTTCCCACAGTTCATTCAATTTATGGAAGTTTATGTTGCAATAAATAAATCGGAATTAGAATCTAATGAAAGGCGCAAAACATTTCGACTGAGAGACTAGAGGAAGAAATTATTCAAAGCACATCTGGGAGTGAAGACGAAACATCATTAATAAAAGAGTTTCCACTGGCTTTGCTTCGCTTTATCCAAATGCATCTGTTTGGTTTCTCATAATAATTTCATGTCGAGGGAGATTCGATGGAAAGCAGCACAAGAAACATTCGATTTATGAGTCGCGGATTGTTGCCATATGCGCGACACAATCGATTGAATTGAGGAAAAAAATGGAACAAACAACAGTTAAGAACGTTTTTGTTCGAGCAAAGAAAGTTTCTCAACACAATCGAGAATAACTTTGTGAAAAAGAAACATTCAAACTAATAAAAATTATCAGATTTCAACAATTAATTTAATCTAAGCAGCTTTGAAGCTTTCATGACGTTTAAAAGATGTTTCATTCATAGAATTTATCTTCATTTATCTTAGAATTAAAATGAAATGCTGGCATGTTTCGACGACCTTGAAGCCACGCCACGAATCATAAAGAAGCAAACAAAATAAAAAGAAATTTCGCGACTTCTTGTGAACGCTCGTAAATTAATTAAATTCAATTTAAATTGTCATCTTGATTTATTTATGTTAATTTTGTTCTGTAAATGAAAAGAAAGCAGAAGTGAAGCAGAGAAAAATAAAGTTTTCTTAAGAATTCCNTTCGCTTTATCCAAATGCATCTGTTTGGTTTCTCATAATAATTTCATGTCGAGGGAGATTCGATGGAAAGCAGCACAAGAAACATTCGATTTATGAGTTATGGATAATTAATGTAGTTGTTATGTAGTAGTTAACATTTTAATAAAATGATCACTCATAATGCATGACACATCGCATCAGATTATTTCTGTCTACCCAGAAGAAAACTAAAAGATCTTTGTAAAGGTAATTAACTACATTTCCAGTTGAATGAGTTAACAGAAACATCTGTGGCCATGCATCCTGATGATTTCACGAAGAGTAATAAACTAGAAAACATTTGATCAACCACTGAACAGTGCAAACATTTCTTAGCGATCACAAAAGGTTATCTGAAGATGATTTTTGCAAAGTCAGAATTTTTTAAAACCAGCTTATCACTGTATGATAGGGTTGTCACGTCACGCCATGACGACATGCTTGACGCCGTGGCGTGACGTCATGCGTGACGACACGGCGTCATGCATGTCGTCATGGTGGATGTTTTTTTGTATGGGAGTTTTTTAAACTCATTAATTAACTAAAAATTTATCTCCAGCGCCCTCTGNTGCTGCAAAGCACAACTCATCGCAAACCCTTTTCTGACACATGCTTCCTAAATTTGTAAGTCGAATCATCCTCTAAATCTCCCAAAACTTAATTTTTCACAAGCTGCTGATATTCACGAACGATTGACTTTATTTTCAGTTCTGTCCATCATTCGAATCGCAACTCAAAGACGTGTCGAAATGTTTCTCAATTTAATTGAATTTCCTTCCATTCCCTTCCTTGATTCGTTATTATTAAATCGGAAGTTGATGATTTCTATTTAAGAGTTCTAAACCAACAGATTGACAAGGAATTGTTGAGTCACATGGAAAACTTAATGAAAATCTTTTGTCGGTGTTTTGGTCGCTTCATGACAATGAAAGTCAGAAATTTATGTCGAATTTCTTTGAGATTGAATTCAATCCGAAGAATCCATTAGCAAGAAGTTGAAAATGATGCAAGAAAAATTTTGTTTGCATTTCTCTACAAAGTGTTTTGCATAAAGTTTTCATCACTCAACACTCTTCATATTCATGAACTTCCAAACCAGCACATGTTAAAGCCTCGTGGATTTGTTGATACTTTTGCATTCGTTTTCCGTGTTTTCTTTTCATTAGAATTTCTCGTTGATTGTTAGCACAAAGCTTGGGTTTTCATTGTTTGAGAAATTCTTAAAACTCTTTCACTGAATTCAATTGCATTCATTCAATCGCATTCAACGTGAGTTTTGCCAACATTAAACCGACTTGCTTTTCAATTCGAGAATTACAAAACATAATATCAGATAAGATGATAAGAAAGAATATTAAAATGAGAAATGATGACGAATGACAAAACATTTTAAGAGATTAAAGTTTTAAGCATTTTCAATTTCTGTCAAGTTCTGCAAATAAGGAAAACGGAAAACTTTCAGAGAATTCTCACGATACTGATGAACTAATGAATTCGCTTTACTGAATGAGTTAGGAACAGAAAATGTTTGCCAACTTAACAGAAGTTGTCATGCAAATTGAAACTTGAAAGTTTCTCATTCAAATCCTCCGAAAGTTCTTTGCGCTGTTTTGTGAATTGAAATTTGCTGCTTTAAGCAATAAAATTTCTTTCTTTTGTTCTACTCGCTATAATAATTTTAACTCAATTGTTTCTTCATTTTGATAGAAAACTCAAATGGAAAATCAGAAAATGAAATTTTCATCGATTGTTGCAATAATTTCAGTTCAATTCGTTTAAATATATTTTGGTGACTCAATAAAAATTTTGTGGGATTATCAATCGAATGAGTAAATCACGCTGAAATTTTTTATTTACATAATTAAGTCTCGTTTCCTGTGAATCTTATCACTTATTCCCCTCCAAGACGATTACGCTGACCTTATGTAGCTGTTTATAAGACAGAAATTTACAAAATTTCATCTCAGTACAAGTTCTAAACTTGAAGGAAAAAGTCAAAAATCTAAGAAGATGAAATTCGTTCTGATTATCGCGAGTGTTTGCGTTATCTCCACCGTTTTTGCGGCACCATCAACTCAAAGTGAAACTGATGATGTGGCATTAGAGGAATTCAAAGCAGCCCTCAAAGGACTTTCAGAAATGTTTCCGGGAGATCACTGGTTAGGGGGTTTCGTGAATTCAATTGAAGCACAATGTTTGTTGGATGAATATAAGAAGCACAACTTGGTTGACATGCTGTTAAAGCCACTGAGTCCATCTGAGGCTGAAGAATTACTCTTCGAACACACCATCAACAAACATGTCGTAATTTTCGGCAATACTGCACTTTTGTGTTCAAATAAGTTGGATCCGGTTTTGACCTTTGCTTTCGACGTTGTCTTCGCTTCGAGTGTTCTTTTCGATGCTTTCCGACATGATGAACCGATCAAAACAGTTCTTGATCATCTTGTGTGTGTCAATAATCGTGCTGTGAAATCAAACCTCATCGACGTAAACAGTTATCCTAACTTAGAATACGATCTCGGAAATATGACTGAAGCAGAGTGTGACGAAGCGATTTCTGAAGTGAAGCACATGATAGCACATGAGCTTCGCAGACCTATGAGAAGATTTGATGAAGAACACAAAGAATGTTACAAGACTCATCTTATGAGTGGAGCTGAGAAGGTTGTCTTGAAGTATCTGCCTTTGGTGCCATTGAAGTTGAGTGACGAACAGAAGAATATCGAACGAGCTCATTTCATCGCTGATGTCCGTGAATTGGTGGAGTCATTGTTGGTCTGTCACGAACCTAAAACTGACGACATCCCAACAGTAGCAGACAACGAAGTCTCGCATGACACTGCATAGAGAGTTTGCCAGCAGAAATGTAAATTTTCTTAATCAAAACGGCTAATAAAAAATTCATTTCGAAGCAATAAATCAAACGAGTGTTTCATAATATTCAACTCGTTATCAACTTTCAAAGTGTCGTCGAAATTATTTTTCTTACACGCAATTGAACTTCGACCCAACGAAAATAATTAAAAGATTAAATTTTATTCCTCCAATTAGCTGATTTTATGAAATGTTCGACACTTTGAATTGATTGATGAAAAATAAGAATAAATCGACACATTTCACTCCACTTCTGTCTTCGTCTCGTGTGTCATCGTTATCAGAAATGAAAACATTTCATCTCGAGACCAAAAGGATTTTCAAACAGATTTATTTACGGTCGATGACGTTGAAAACCTCAGAATAAATAAATCGAAAGAAAGGTAAGATGTGGGTGGGTGGGACGATGTTGACGTTTGCTGATCTCAATTTTATGGCACATGCAAAGTTGCAACATCTGATAGCCTCACAGATTCTTCTCTTCACAATGCCTTTGGTTGGTGAAATCAAATTCGGACTCTTCTAAGTCCACAATGATCAATAATCGATTCATGATAAGTTCATGTTGCCAAGTATGCTGTAAGAGTTCGAGAGTAATGCACTGAGATCAATTGACAGAAGGTTGTCAGAGATGGATTGTTCATGTCCATTTATAGTCACACGACACGTGAAACATCGAAAACAAGCAAAAACTTGAGTTTGTCTTCTTCTTCCACAATGTCTTCGATCTCATATTGTCATCACTTTAAGCAGCATTGCAAAATGATGTCGACATGAAAACGTGATGTGGTTGAAATAACAAAGACGAGCTTCGTAATCAATCGAACTTCGTTGAATAATTTCTGGGATTATTTCCATTCGAAGACATCAGTTGGGTATCAAAGCTTCTAATTAAATTGTTCGCATATGAAAGTTTTCATCGTCATCATCATTAACTTGTTTCTAAATTAATTTCGCTCGCTATTAATGTTCCATTATCAAAGCACATAACAATAAAATTTACTTCTAGTCATTCGCTCTTCATCATCGTGAATTTTATGATCTGTCGTTGATGCTTAAATGCAGAAATCATTTGTTGCTTCAACAACTTGTAAATAATTTGTAAGAAACAAAATTTCAGCTTTTTCACTATCTAATTAATAAATCCAGTAAACTTAGATATTTTATGTCTTGTTAGCTAGCTCGTTGAGCACAGATGCTTCTGTCAAGATTTCACATAATGTTTGAATCATAAAATATGCTTTTACAAATTTTTTGCTAATGGCAACAAATTTGTCGTAGCATTATTAATGAAGAACTTTTTCCTTGTTGCTTTTCATTTCAGTTTTAAAGGAAGAATTAAAAGAGAAAAATAATTTTCATTATAATAATGGTGCTTAATAAAAACAAATTGTTCAGAATGAGAAATTTCGCTCTTAAAATTATCACAAAAAATTTCATAAATATTTATGAAGCAGACTTTACAGTTGATTCATGAAAATTCTTTAAGCAGTCTGTGTTTGTGTGTTTAGCAAACATAAAACGTTGCAAAGTTTCATGAAGCGTGCATTATGAAATGCAAAATTTGTTATCGGCGCACGTTATTCACACATATTCGTGACAATTCTGCTGCAATCAGGATAAATTCATATGAAAGCATCAACTATGCATGCATAATCCACAATGAAATGAGGAAACGTTCTCATGTTTATTGTGGAAATGGTTTTGTTTCAGGATTTCTGTGTTCAAATATGATAAAAGCGCATAAGCTTTCCCACTTATTTCAGAGTAATTTAATTTATATTTCGAAAAATGAAATATTCATTTAATCACTGAAAGTGTCTTTAACATTTGCTGTCCTCTCATCAAACTTTATTTTTCCTGACATTTTCCACGACCCGAAAAATTTCAAAGTCATTTCTAAATCATCCCGACCTCAAAATTTGACGTTTTGCTTTACAATTTTTTTTTTCATTCGTCGACATTCATTCTTCAAGCAATGAACTCGTTTTTCAACTCTGTTCTAAATTCTAACAATTGCCAAGTCACAAGGTCAACATGACTTTTAAAAAAATGTGAAAAAAAGAATAATTTCACGCAAGCTACCAAGCTGATGAAGAAACGATAAAAAATTAAACCGAAAACATCAAAAATTGAATCGCTTTAAAGTGACGCAAGTTGCCTCAAACATGTAGGAAATGGAACAACAAGATTTAATTCCAATGTTCACACCTTCGTATAAATCAATCTAACTTGTTTGATCTTTCGAATGATTTATTGAATTCTTCTTAAAAGACGAATGTAAAAGGAAATTTTCTTAAACTGGTTTGAATTTTCGGTCTCTTGATATGGCTTTCTGATATTTATTTTATAGTTGATCACAAGACGAAACAATTAATAATAAGAAATATATAATAATAAATAAATCATAATTACCTCAACAAAAGTGCGTGAAAATGTGTCAATTAACATAAGAAGATTTTCATAAATAAAAATAAAAATTCCACTGTCGCTGAGGCTGCTTTTTTCACTTCAGTGAAATGAAATAACATTAACAAAATACTTTATTTTTATTCTGTATCAATGTTCATTCATGTCAAGTTTATTTCATCAACATCGATCACAAAAATATTCCAATCAGAAGCAACAAGTTGACTCGAATGCTGTTGCTTGCTGAATATTTTCCAACTCACTTGGCAGTTATCGATAAAATATTTTTCTTGCTTTTATTTTCACAAAATTAATGAAACACGATATTTCTCATCTTAATCTTTTCACATATCATTTAACTTCTTTGTGGCTTCATAAATCGCTGAAAATGATGAAAAAGAAAGAAGAATAAGGCATTAATAAAATCGAGGGGGAAAACTGGAAGACCTTGAAAATAATAATCATTGAACTTCAAAATATTGTGTGTCATTTTCCTTCAACGATTTTCAAATTTCCTAATCAAAGAGAGCTCCAAATTGAGTTATCAATCAATTTGTGTGATTAAATGAACTGACTCGAATTTAATTAGGTTTCAAGAGTCTACATCACTTCATCATTTCCAACTCATTGGATGATTGCAGACATTTTCTTCATATTTACGTAATAAGTCATTAAGAAATATTTTTCCCCTCAACATTTTCCTCGCTTAAACATTTTTCCAATTTCCGTTCTCGTCGTTGCCTTTGTTGCGTGCTAACTCCAAGAATTCAAACAGAATATTTTCACACGCCTCATAAAGAAAAACTTTTTCCATTGTAAGTGTAAGAAATCCAGAAATTTTAAACGAGAAATTTGTTATCATAAATCATGGGATTTCAAGAAAAGCATAATCAAGAGAGTTGCAAAGAAAATAGATGTGAATTGCTTGCCATTTTAATGGATTTGTTAAATTGAAGTCATAAAATGTTCGTTCATGATAACTGGAAGCGGTTTACAATCTTTTTGTTGACTCAAAGCAATTTCTAAATTCAATCAGTTAATTGAATCCTTTTCATTCAGCTTTTCGACATTTTCACTTGAATCTAGTAAATATTAAGTTAAATTATCTCAAGTAGGGTATAATCTTCAATTACGAAATACCCCAGAAATTTTTTCAAATGAACTTCACGGGTCGTGCGGTCATCTCAAGAAATCACAAACCTTAACAAATTCCTAAATTTTTTCAAAATTTGCTTTCCACCCTAAATCGTCAAACGCTTGATAAAAACTTTTCGCATTTATCTCAAATCCTAAACTGTAATGAGATCCTTTTGCAGATGTTATTTCTTCGTTTTCTTTTAGGTTTTACGAAAACCTTTTTCTGGTAAAATCTTTATAAAGAGTTTGATGTTTTCGTCAAGTTCTGGGAAGAAAAAATAAATTTCAAGTGTCGATTTATAAAATATCCAATATCTGAAGCACGTTCATACTAAATGTAAAATGATCTTGTGAAAAGATGTTTCAACTTGAAGATTTCCAAAAAGCTACTCTTAAAGTTTTGAATCTTCATTTGAGTGGAAGAATCTTGAAAATATTTCTTGAGATAATAACAAAAATTTCTTCCTTTCCCATTAAACATCAAGGATTCCATTTTAATATAAAAAGTTAACATAATCAAGTAATTAAATTACTTAACATGCCGTTGAATCTTTTCAATTTTAGAAAAGGATTAAAATTTAACATTTTTTGACAATGTTTTACAATCGTGACGTTCTTTCCCGAAAAAAATAATTTATCTCCCGTTGTGCAATAGCAGAAAGGATAATGTTGAGTCCATTCATTCTTTTTCTTTCGAATAGAAATCTTACTTTTGCTACAATACCTCCGTTCTTTATTACATTGAAATGAAACTTAATATTCTCGACACAATGAAGTCAACCTGTAGCTTGAATGAAAAGGATCAGGCACGTCATTGTTCGTTGACTTCCTGCTTAACCAACTGAAACGTTTGCTGCTGTGAAAAATGACTTTGCGGCTTGAGATGATAACAAAAAAGGTTTTCGGTGGGAATGAAACGTATTTGCAGCAAACATCGATTGATTTCCTTCCACGAACTCTCAGCAGATTATTAAACTTCAAACTATTTAAGGAAATGAACTAATGGAGAATGTTTGCCAATAATGTAAACAAGAAAGCTTTTCAAAATTAATTAAAGAAGTTTAATGTTCGTTATTCTGAAGAATTTCATGCTCGAATTATTCTCAAACCCTTTCCCATTCCACTCTCGCTAGTCTTGAAGATTAACATCTTTAATTTCTAAATGGTTGAAAATGGTTAAGCGTCAAATTGTCGTCTAGAGCCTCTCTTGAGTGACTTATGGAACCAACTTCGCATTATCGCACAGTCTTTCTCATTTCCAACTCCTTCGCATCTCATTCTCAACTTAAATTTCCGGAATAATCTGCGATGTCTCACTAAATGAAAATCATGACACAGAATCAACGGTTAATTAAAACACGAGACAAACTTCTCATTTCCATCGTTAAGCATTCACGCCTCGCTCCAAGCTGCGTCTGATTTATTTTTACTTGCGACTTTAATTAAATTCAGTGTAAAGTATCGGAGCGATTTTATCATGGATAACAACAATTTATGCCCAAGATCATAAAAAATTATTTGTCTTGATGTTAAGTGCAAGACATTTCTTTACAACAGAACTCTCCGTTACACCGGAAACGAGCGAAAAGTAAGCAAGATTCTCATTTGAAGAGCAACAGCGAGTATCATGAATACTTGATGTTTAACTTGAGCTTGCGGTGAGGAAACCTCAACTGATTAAAAATTGATTAAGTTGAGAAAATATTGTTGAGGAGAAACCAGAATTTAAGCTACTTTTGCCTGACAACTTCCCATATGCGCATCGAAATAGCTCGGAGAAATAAAATCAATTTTGCCACTGAATAAGTGAATGACTTTGAAGTTGAAAGTCAAATTTGTTTCAATAAATTCGCCATCGTTGATGTCAAACATGAGATTATCTTGGATAGGAACAAATTTGGACTTCATTAAGTCTCTCAATGGAATAAAAACATTTATTAAGTGACATTACAAGCGAAATACTTTTATAATGAGAATAATTGGTGCTTTGGTGTTTTTGTTTTAATCATGAACGTTCTCGGCCGTGCCTTTCCATCCGGAATAACAACAGAATAGGAGAAAAGTGGTGCGACTACCGAGCGCCGGGCGTTGCTGTTGTTTATGTGAGTCATGGGATTAACGTAAATATTCAAATGAGCTTTCGCTGTATGGTCGCGCGTTGGTTGACATCAATTCGTATTAGAAATAGCGAAATGGCAACAAAACATGAAACTAGCGAGAAAGATCGAATTAACATAAAAATTGTTCGTTCGCTTGCCTTCTTGCTTGGTTGGAGTCGATGACGACAACAATTTGCGCCACATGATACAAGATGAAGCCGATTGGAATTCTTTTCATTCAACATTGGAAAATTTAATTTCGTTGCGAATCTGCGACTTCATATTGTTACACAATCGACAACGAAATTGAATTTGCGATTCTAATTTCTTCTGAAGAAACACGAAGGAATCGTTCGATGGGTAGATTGATGACTTGNGAAAAAATAAATTTCAAGTGTCGATTTATAAAATATCCAATATCTGAAGCACGTTCATACTAAATGTAAAATGATCTTGTGAAAAGATGTTTCAACTTGAAGATTTCCAAAAAGCTACTCTTAAAGTTTTGAATCTTCATTTGAGTGGAAGAATCTTGAAAATATTTCTTGAGATAATAACAAAAATTTCTTCCTTTCCCATTAAACATCAAGGATTCCATTTTAATATAAAAAGTTAACATAATCAAGTAATTAAATTACTTAACATGCCGTTGAATCTTTTCAATTTTAGAAAAGGATTAAAATTTAACATTTTTTGACAATGTTTTACAATCGTGACGTTCTTTCCCAAAAAAAATAATTTATCTCCCGTTGTGCAATAGCAGAAAGGATAATGTTGAGTCCATTCATTCTTTTTCTTTCGAATAGAAATCTTACTTTTGCTACAATACCTCCGTTCTTTATTACATTGAAATGAAACTTAATATTCTCGACACAATGAAGTCAACCTGTAGCTTGAATGAAAAGGATCAGGCACGTCATTGTTCGTTGACTTCCTGCTTAACCAACTGAAACGTTTGCTGCTGTGAAAAATGACTTTGCGGCTTGAGATGATAACAAAAAAGGTTTTCGGTGGGAATGAAACGTATTTGCAGCAAACATCGATTGATTTCCTTCCACGAACTCTCAGCAGATTATTAAACTTCAAACTATTTAAGGAAATGAACTAATGGAGAATGTTTGCCAATAATGTAAACAAGAAAGCTTTTCAAAATTAATTAAAGAAGTTTAATGTTCGTTATTCTGAAGAATTTCATGCTCGAATTATTCTCAAACCCTTTCCCATTCCACTCTCGCTAGTCTTGAAGATTAACATCTTTAATTTCTAAATGGTTGAAAATGGTTAAGCGTCAAATTGTCGTCTAGAGCCTCTCTTGAGTGACTTATGGAACCAACTTCGCATTATCGCACAGTCTTTCTCATTTCCAACTCCTTCGCATCTCATTCTCAACTTAAATTTCCGGAATAATCTGCGATGTCTCACTAAATGAAAATCATGACACAGAATCAACGGTTAATTAAAACACGAGACAAACTTCTCATTTCCATCGTTAAGCATTCACGCCTCGCTCCAAGCTGCGTCTGATTTATTTTTACTTGCGACTTTAATTAAATTCAGTGTAAAGTATCGGAGCGATTTTATCATGGATAACAACAATTTATGCCCAAGATCATAAAAAATTATTTGTCTTGATGTTAAGTGCAAGACATTTCTTTACAACAGAACTCTCCGTTACACCGGAAACGAGCGAAAAGTAAGCAAGATTCTCATTTGAAGAGCAACAGCGAGTATCATGAATACTTGATGTTTAACTTGAGCTTGCGGTGAGGAAACCTCAACTGATTAAAAATTGATTAAGTTGAGAAAATATTGTTGAGAAGAAACCAAAAATTGAGCTACTTTTGCCTGACAACTTCCCATATGCGCATCGAAATAGCTCGGAGAAATAAAATCAATTTTGCCACTGAATAAGTGAATGACTTTGAAGTTGAAAGTCAAATTTATTTCAATAANAGTTCTCTTGAAGTATCTGCCTTTGGTGCCATTGAAGTTGAATGACGAACAGAAGAATGTCGAACGAGCTCATTTCATCGCTGATGTCCGTGAATTGTTGGAGTCATTGTTGGTTTGTCATGAACCTAAAACTGACGACATCCCAACAGTAGCAGACAACGAAGTCTCGCATGACACTGCATAGAGAGTTTGCCAGCAGAAATGTAAATTTTCTTAATCAAAACGGCTAATAAAAAATTCATTTCGAAGCAATAAATCAAACGAGTGTTTCATAATATTCAACTCGTTATCAACTTTCAAAGTGTCGTCGAAATTATTTTTCTTACACGCAATTGAACTTCAACCCAACGAAAATAATTAAAAGATTAAATTTTATTCCTTCAATTAGCTGAGTTTATGAAATGTTCGACACTTTGAATTGATTGATGAAAAATAAGAATAAATCGACACATTTCACTCCACTTCTGTCTTCGTCTCGTGTGTCATCGTTATCAGAAATGAAAACATTTCATCTCTAGACCAAAAGGATTTTCAAACAGATTTATTTACGGTCGATGACGTTGAATGGCTCAGAATAAATAAATCGAAAGAAAGGTAAGATGTGGGTGGGACGATGTTGACGTTTGCTGATCTCAATTTTATGGCACATGTAAAGTTGCAACATCTGATAGGCTCACAGATTCTTCTCTTCACAATGCCTTTGATTGCTGAAGTCAAAATCGGACTTTTCTAAGTCCACAATAATCAATAATCGATTCATGATAAGTTCATGTTGCCAAGTATGCTGTAAGAGTTCGAGAGTAATGCACTGAGATCAATTGACAGAAGGTTGTCAGAGAAGGATTGTTCATGTCCATTTATAGCCACACGACACGTGAAACACCAAAAATAAGCAAAAATTTGAGTTTGTCTTCTTCTTCCACAATGTCTCCCTTCGATATCATATTGTCATCACTTTAAGCAGCATTGCAAAATGATGTCGACATGAAAACGTGATGTGGTTGAAATAACAAAGACGAGCTTCGTAATCAATCGAACTTCGTTGAATAATTTCTGGGATTATTTCCATTCGAAGACATCAGTTGGGTATCAAAGCTTCTAATTAAATTGTTCGCATATGGAAATTTTCATCATCATCATCATTAGCTTGTTTCTAAATTAATTTCGCTTGCTATTAATGTTCCATTATCAAGGCACATAACAATAAAATTTACTTCTAGTCATTCGCTCTTCATCATCGTGAATTTTATGATCTGTCGTTGTTGCTGTTTAGATTCAGAAATTCGTTACTTTTATAACTTGTAAATAAGCTTTACACAAATTTGAGTTCTTTCACTATCTAATTAATTAATAAATTCACTTCGCTTATGATGTTGCAAATAGTTTGAGTAAACTAACAAATATCTCTCGAAATTATTTTCATAAAAAAGATTGCAAGAAGCATTGAAATAAAAGCTTCATTCAGTGATTCTCAATTAAATATTCAAATGTTGCTTTAGCTTAGAAATTCATGACATCTGTCACATGAAGTCATTCCGTTAGTTGTGTTGCATTCAAAAGCTTAACAGCAGCGACAGTAATAAAAATGTTAATAATAATTTACATCTGGAGGCTTCCAGGAGTTTCCAATACTATCGAAAGCTTTCGTGTTCAAATCAAACTGAAATCAAACTGGAAGCTTTTTTATTGCTTCGCACATGAAGGCATCAGATGTCACGATAATGTGCAAAGATATTCACAAAACGCTGTTACGCAAGCGTAATTTTATTATCTTCGTCGGACAGATGAACACATTTTGGAAGAACATTCAGGTAGCGGCAACAAAGTCCCGAAACTCAGACCCAAAGTCAACCAACCAAGATGCTTATTTGTACATATTTTGCTTTTGAGAAATAAATCCTTGGCAGTTGAAATTAAGGAAAATTTATTGGAAAAGTTGAGATTTTCTTCTAACCGTAAAATTTCCAGCATTTTCCTCAGTAGCAACTGAACTGATGATGTGACTTGAAATCTTTCTTAAAGATTCAAAATTTTAAGTTTCCTTTTAAATCGCAAAGATTTTCACCTCACCTGTCATTGCTCGTTGACTTCCTGCTTAACCAACTGAAACGTTTGCTGCTGTGAAAAATGACTTTGCGGCTTGAGATGATAACAAAAAAGGTTTTCGGTGGGAATGAAACGTATTTGCAGCAAACCTCGATTGATTTCCTTCTACGAACTCTCAGAAGATTATTAAACTTCAAACTATTTAAGGAAATGAACTAATGGAGAATGTTTGCCAATAATGTAAACAAGAAAGCTTTTCAAAATTAATTAAAGAAGTTTAATGTTCGTTATTCTGAAGAATTTCATGCTCGAATTATTCTCAAACCCTTTCCCATTCCACTCTCGTTAGTCTTGAAGATTAACATCTTTAATTTCTAAATGGTTGAAAATGGTTAAGCGTCAAATTGTCGTCTAGAGCCTCTCTTGAGTGACTTATGGAACCAACTTCGCATTATCGCACAGTCTTTCTCATTTCCAACTCCTTCGCATCTCATTCTCAACTTAAATTTCCGGAATAATCTGCGATGTCTCACTAAATGAAAATCATGACACAGAATCAACGGTTAATTAAAACACGAGACAAACTTCTCATTTCCATCGTTAAGCATTCAAGCCTCGCTCCAAGCTGCGTCTGATTTATTTTTACTTGCGACTTTAATTAAATTCAGTGTAAAGTATCGGAGCGATTTTATCATGGATAACAACAATTTATGCCCAAGATCATAAAAAATTATTTGTCTTGATGTTAAGTGTAAGACATTTCTTTACAACAGAACTCTCCGTTACACCGGAAACGAGCGAAAAGTAAGCAAGGTTCTCATTTGAACAGCAACAGCGAGTATCATGAATACTTGATGTTTAACTTGAGCTTGCGGTGAGGAAACCTCAACTGATTAAAAATTGATTAAGTTGAGAAAATATTGTTGAGAAGAAACCAAAAATTGAGCTACTTTTGCCTGACAACTTCCCATATGCGCATCGAAATAGCTCGGAGAAATAAAATCAATTTTGCCACTGAATAAGTGAATGACTTTGAAGTTGAAAGTCAAATTGGTTTCAATAAATTCGCCATCGTTGATGTCAAACATAAGATTATCTTGGATAGGAACAAATTTGGACTTCATTAAGTCTCTCAATGGAATAAAAACATTTATTAAGTGACATTACAAGCGAAATACTTTTATAATGAGAATAATTGGTGCTTTGGTGTTTTTGTTTTAATCATGAACGTTCTCGGCCGTGCCTTTCCATCCGGAATAACAACAGAATAGGAGAAAAGTGGTGCGACTACCGAGCGCTGGGCGTTGCTGTTGTTTATGTGAGTCATGGGATTAACGTAAATATTCAAATGAGCTTTCGCTGTATGGTCGCGCGTTGGTTGACATCAATTCGTATTAGAAATAGCGAAATGGCAACAAAACATGAAACTAGCGAGAAAGATCGAATTAACATAAAAATTGTTCGTTCGCTTGCCTTCTTGCTTGGTTGGAGTCGATGACGACAACAATTTGCGCCACATGATTCAAGATGAAGCCGATTGGAATTCTTTTCATTCCACATTGGAAAATTTAATTTCGTTGCGAATCTGCGACTTCATATTGTTACACAATCGACAACGAAATTGAATTTGCGATTCTAATTTCTTCTGAAGAAACACGAAGGAATCGTTCGATGGGTAGATTGATGACTTGAAGCAATGAATTGAAACGACAGAGACACAAGAAATAGAAGAAAAGTCAATGACGACATGTTAATTCGATTCATTCAAACTTTTCATGTTTTGCACGAGCAGAATTCATCTGCGAAGCTTCTTCTGACCTCAAACAGTCACGAGATGTATGCGAGTCTTCAGTTTCAACCACAGATATCGCTCAAGGCCAGAGAAATCTCATCAGAAGGAAAGAAGAACGAAAAAGGCAAAAACCACCCAAGAAAGATTTTTTTGTCGGCAACAGTCGTTGGTTGAGTCGTTGAAAAAAAAACTTTTAAATCGCAATTTCTCGACTAATTTTCTTCCCATTTCCCTAATGAAGAACATGAGTGAAGAAAATTGATAATCAAACAATTCTTATTCATCCTTTACCCTCGATAAAGAGAAACAAAGTTTTTGTTTATAATTTTGAAAAGAATTCTAATGTTGATACAAATTCAAGAATTTATGTTGCCAGTTTGAAATTAACTTTTCCTGTTGGCGCTTTTGTGTTTCATGTTTCGACAATAAAAGTTCAGTTTTACGTTTCTTGTTTGTACAGACGAGATCACATTAGAAAGTGAAACCGAGAAGGTGGATGAATTGTGGATTCAATTTAAAGTGCGCTCGTGCTCGAGTTTGTTTTATTTTTTCGGCAGCAACGACAACGAAATCAGTTTCAAAATTATCTGCCGAGTTGCGGCTGAGAGTTGAAACGACGACAAAAAATTCACTTTCACTTAAAAGTTTCAAAATTTTTTGTTATCTGAATTATTTCTGTTTATTATGTTTGCCAATTTTCGAACAGCAGAAGAATGAAATAACAAAGAAAGTTTGCGCAATGATCAAATGAACGAGCGTGGTTGAAATTTCATTTTAAGTTTTGCTTTCTTATATTGAGGTTCGCCTCAAACATGAACATTCAATTGAACGAACCTTCGACTTGAGTTGAGTTGGCGAGAAGTGAGAGAGAAACAATTTCTCATGCAATGATTAGCGACTTAAGTACCACTTTGAGTTGTTATGTTTTTCCGTTCGAATTCGAACTCGTAACGCGTTCACTGCACGGGCGGAAACACAAAATAATAAAATCGATAAAGAAATTTACTTGGAACTCTCTCCACACACTCATTATGCTGCTCAGACAACGACAACAATGACGACAAGAGAAAGGAAAATGTTTTTGAAACATAAAATGAACGTAGAAACAAAGAATCCGAAACATAATGAACACATGGAACCGGTAAAGTTATTGCGAGTCGTTTATTACGCTAAAAAATGTCTGAGACATTCAAAGCACGGAAAACACTTTGAAGGGGAAAAATGAATATGAATGAAGGAAGAAATGAAAAATTTCTGAGAATCACAAGAAGTCTTTTTATCAGTTTGAAAAATATGAGAACACTTCGACCATTTATTAACAATTACAAGGAAAAAACTTGTTACAAATTGAATTAAATTCAGAAGAAATTATTTTTCTTTTCTTTTCTTTACATTTCACGTTTTTTTTATGAAACTCTACTTTTCATTGTGAGAGTAAACAATCGACAATTTAATGAAATTATTTCTTGCATCACTGATTTCATTAATTTTTTCCAATGATTTCGTTATTTTATTTTACTTTTTTTTGCTATACTTCAGCTTCTTACTTTTTATTCTCTTTTTTTTTTAATTCTTTTCAGATTTTCATCAATCACTTGAGATCACTTTTTTTTCTTTAGATTTTTTTCAACCTTTTTCTCTTTAGAAATTTCAATGGTTTTTTATTTGTATTCACCTTTCAACATAAAATGCTTTATTCCATTTACTTGATATTTCTACTTTGATATGTCGTTTGAAAGGAATCCGGAATTGAAATTTTGATTCACACACAATGGAATTCCTTTAATAGAAATAAAAGCGCCGATAAAATGTGTGGGAAAATTTACTACATGAACTTTCATAAGCACGAAAACGAAAAATGATTCATTCCGATTTACAGACAAATTGCAACTGGTTGGATGGAGAAAAGTTTTCGTTTTTTGAATTATCCAATGTTTACTGGAAGAATGTTGCACAATGTTGACCAAAAACCGTTGATGTTTTCCATATAAATTCCAATGTTTTGTTATTATTTTCAATGCTTTGCCTCAATGCTTCAGCTTTCCATTGGCAGTCTTCATAAAACTGTTGGATAATTGGAAGAGTGTAAAACCTCACGAGGTTTCAAGCAGAAGACATAAATATTAAACGAACATTGAATGCATTTTTTTGCAAGCACAAAACTGGTTTTAACTTCTAACAACTTTATTCTTGGGAGGCTCGACCATTTTCCAAGTGTTTTATAACGTTTTTGTGACAATCGCCAATAAGTTATTTTCATGAATAAATGTTATTGAAAATCGATTTTAAAACGCTTTTCTCTTATATATCCATGAGAAATATTGAAACCTAGAAGATATCAGTTTTTATTTCAAAAATCGATGAGGTGGAAAATTGCACTCATATTTATGTAAGCGAAAATAAACTGAATTTCATGATTATAAACTTTTGTTGGTTTTCGTATTATTCGATTTAATACAGACTGCAATTTCAATCCTCTGAATTTATGATAGATAATAATAAACTGTCAAAGAGAAAATAAATTCAGCTTTCTCATAATGCTCAGCTTTTCTCATTCAGTGAATACAATTCAATATTGCTGTTACATGCATCGCACTCTGAATGAAACCGATTCCCGTCAAGTTTTACATGATATTGACTTTTTTTTGCTTCAGACATTTTATGGAGCGCTGACGAAGGAAGAAAACGGGGCGTTTATATTATGCAAATAACTATAAAATCTCATATTGAAACGCTTCGTATTCATATCAAACGGTTCAGCTTTGAGTTCAATGTTTAAAGTGATCGACGAAAAATAATTTCAAGATTTTTTTTTGCGTAATTTGTGAAGCAGAAAAATTTAACATCGTCGTTGCTTTGCTTACGAAAATGTTTCAAAGTCCTTCTGTCGTTATTGTTGGTTTCTCATGTTACAACAGACCTCGCCTTTTGTTCCAAGAATTTCATTTTAATATAAATTTTCATTTGAGAATAATTCCAAATGTTGTGGGATGTGATCTTGAATAGAAAGCCGAATGGAATGGGAAGGTCGTCTCGACATTCTTTACTACATAAACTTGAGGATTATGCTTTGAAAATACTTTCAACTTGTGGTCAAAGATAATAACTTTCAGTTTTATGATAACTTCTTTTATTTAACTCGATTCTCGTGTCCATTCTTGTTGATTCTTAAATAAATTTCTTTACAATTTACACAACAAAAGAGCCAAGAAACTGTCAACTCAAATGGTTCTTGAATTGCGTCATTAAACATATTTTATTCAGATCCCTCGAGTCCATTAAGCACAGTCACCGATGGCACCTAATCTCACTTCTTTTTTTCACGACAGAATAAAAAGGAATGGAATAAGTAAGAAGAGAAAACTTCTTCAAAATATTCTCAGGCTAATTCAAGAAACTTTTCCCCGTCTCATCGTTTTAGCCTATTTCGTTTCGAAAAGATTTTTCTCAGATTGAAGTGGAACGGAAAAAAAAGTTTATTTCCATGTTTATCATCCCTTATCTTTAATACTGCTTCTTTTCGTCCTTATGATGGTGTAATTATGTATCAAAGAGTCGTTTAGAAACGAGAGGAAATCCATTAGACAATTGACAATCGTCGACATAAAAGTTTTTCCGTCCGCTCGTTTGAACATCCTTTGCTAAGTTAAGCAGCAATGAGTTTCCGATTGTCAAGAGATGTTGACAACGGCAACGTTTGAAATTAATTTGGAGAAAGTCAATATAGACAATCACTCAAGTGGATAAGATTTTTGTATTCAATTCTTTTATTCGTTTTCCCTTTGAAAGACAAGAGATAAGCGCCTTGAGAGTCTCAAATAAGCATAAAAATTCATGAGATTCAAGAATCGATAAACCAGAAATTTTTTTGATATCGGATCGTTCACGTGGGAGTTTGTCTTAATTTGAATAACAATTCAGAAATTTATGAATTTTGAAATGTTACCATTGTGTGTTTAAAACAAAAGAAAAAGTAACATGAAGTCATGCTATGAATTGTGAAGAACATGAGAAAGAGAAGAAATCTTTGGAACATCGATCAGAGTCAGAATTTTCAATCTTCTTTGTTGATCAATACAATCACTCAACTGTCTTGAACATGACTTAAAAATTGAGTCATTACGAATGGCCCGACATCAGGTAGGGAAACATTAATTCCATAATAAAGTTCAACCTCGAAAAAGGATTCGCAGCAGTGAACATGAACAGAAACTTCCTTTTCTTCCACCATAAGTAGACATAGATAATTCGTTGTGTGCAAGAATGCTTGAAGGAGATTAATGACTTGAAGAATATTGTCTTGTGGATGAGAATAAGAAAGAAAAAGAAACTCATAAAATTTACTTTCAAGACACTTTTCGCCTCGAATATTTTACAAATGATGATCATTGAGTAAATGTGTAAAGAAACTTTTCATCTCCAACTCAGACGAAGCGTGGAGGGTGGTTTGATTTATTATCATTTGATTCCGTTGTGTTGCTCAAGTATGACATTGCTTGTAGACTTCGTCGTTCGGCCCATTTCTTACACGTTTTCTAATATGATTTTATTTATTCAAGCATATTTATTTGTGTGAGTGTTGAGGACTTGTTTTCCCACACTTGATGTCGTTTTACGATCCTTTCTGACCTGAATATTGTCTTCCTTTCTTTTCTTCTTTTTCTTATCTTTCTTGTTTTTTTTTGAGAATTATGTTACACTTTCATTGCGGGGGCGTAAGAGTGAAGGCAAAAACATGTTTAACTCGATTCACATGAACAAATTAGATTTACAATTTTTTTAGTGCAGTTTCTTTCCCACGCCGAGCCTTCTCATGTTATTGAGTTTCGTGAATTATGCAAATGAAGAGAAATGGCATGTAAATTATCTCAGCAAAGAGTCCTTTGTTGTGAAACGGTTCCCTGATGTGAGAAGAAAGATTTGAGGGTTGTTGTATGCAATAAAGATGAATTAAGGGATTCCGTGAGATATAAAATCAAGATTAAGGTTTGGTTCGTGCTCGATTTCGGTCAGTTTAGTTTCGTAATTTGATTAGGCAACAAATTTTTAACTTGAGAAAACTCACAATAATTTGAAATGATTACAAATTGAAATTTAATTTCCTAAACCGCAGCCACAATAATTTACTCGATCAAATAAAGCAAATGTTGTTGGTTTTTGATGTTTTTGGCATTAAATCGTTTTGTGGCGCTCACTTAACTTTCGATTTCATTACCTCGATTCAGCGAAAATTGTTTATGTTCGAATTTATTGTCGTTCATAATTCATTTAAAGCTCATGTTTAATTCAAATCTTTGAGGAGAATTCCTCTGCATTAATTTATAACTTTATTTCTCAGGAAAAGCTTAAGAAAGAGTGTCTGCCGTGAATTAAAGCAATTCCTATTACATCTAATAGCAGTAGAAAAAATGCTACGAAAACCAAAATGTAAAGACTCTCGATTCTCGTTTAATGTTTATGTTGAGAATAAATTTTTTTTTCAAACTCATAAAAGCATCCATTAACGTTTTTGTTAGACGATTCGTTTTGTGGTTTCATAACACAAATTGGTTTTGAGGCTCGTAATGACATCAAATAATTTTCAGGGCTTTTCTCTTCTATATAGCATCACTAATTATGTTTATCACCGTATTACTGCGCGTTATATTATTTAAATGACTTAAGTAAACAAAGAAATAAAGAAATGTTTATTGCATCTGTCGCTTAGGAATGTTAAGAACTTATCAGTGTCAATGTAAAGTTTTAGAAACATACATAAGTGCCTCATTTGGGGACTGAATTATATTAAACAGTTAAAGTTCTTCCATCTAGCGATTTCGTATAATGACTCGTAAGGGAAATTCGGTTTTAAAACTAAGGAAATTTTACTGTACACTAAAACATTAATCTTGCTTTATGTTCAAGAATTTTATGTAGAACATTTTTCCCTTCCAAGAAAAGACAATGAAATGTTGTGTCTGATAACAACTAATGAAGCACTTTTCATGTGAAATCTTTGCGTGTTCAAAATAATATCTCCAATGTCAGTCCTAATTAACTTAATTTCGTTTTCAGCATGAACATACAAAACATCTGAAGTTCACATTGGACGAGAACTGCTATTATTATAATTAAAATCAAGCCTATTTGTTTCGCTTTCGGGGCGCAGCATATTATCGAGTGGTTTGATGCTACTAACTTATTCAGAACGAGAGCTTTCAGCTTTCTACTTGACTTAATTAAGTGGTTCACAATACAAACCTCTTTTTTCTTGTTTTGGCTATTTGAACTGATGTTGATTTGAGTTAAGCATGAAATTCTGTTTCGCTTCTCAATAAGCTTCGTATTGTCGAGATTTCGATCAGCAAATAAATGAAAATCGAATTAAGTCTCATTCAAACATAACTTCTGTTCATTCAGCAGCTCGAGCGAAAACAATAAACACACAAATTCAATTCGATTAATCGCCAATCTAATCTACTTACTGCCATCGTCATTTACAAAAGAAATACTCGTTTCATTATGTTCAAACTTTGAAGTTAAGAGGAACAATTACATTTATGTAAACCACATGAAATTCATGTAAAAAAACAGTTTTCAATTACTAAATATATTTTCCCTCATGTACGAATGTCTCACAATGAAAATGCCACCGGTGTTGTCGGTGAAATTTTGAACTTTTCATCATCGTCACCCATAGAATTTCCGTGTCACGTTTTCATGTGGTGCTGTTGGCTGTTGGAACATGATTTCGAGTGCTGCAGAAAGGCTTCAATTATTTAAGAAGAAAAGAGAATAAAAAATTGTCTGTGAAATGTATAACGTGACGAATTCAGTAAGTTTTCTTCTTCTGCTGTTTATATAAATCTGACGAAAGTTTTTTACTTGAATCACTCAATTATGCATGAGAATAAACTCGACCAAGCCTTAATAAAGCTTAATTAGTCGACCATCCACAATGTACTGCAGATTAAAACAATGAATGAATAAATGAAGTACAAAATTGTTATGCAAGTAAAATGAAGTTTTATGAAATGAAATTTCTGATTCGTTCAAAAAAATAATTAAAAAGTTTTTGATTTCGATCAATAGAATCGCAATAAAGGAAATTAATCTTTATTTCAAAAGAGATTAAATAGTTGAAGTGTACTTGTTATGGAAACATCGACTTTTATTAAAAAAACTGATTCAGTGAACAAATAATTTGCTTATCGCAGTTGATTGTGGCGTTTCAAGGTAGTAACTGCTGGCACTTTTATACTTTTATTATTTGATAAGCTGATTCATAGTCAATCTAATCTAGTTTTCCGATAAAAGGTTAATCAAATTATGTCTTCAATCATTTATTATTGTCATAACGATAGCTTAACAACAGACAATGATAACAAATGGAATAGCGCCACACATGGCAATCACAATAATCCGACGATGATGATTGTTTGTTTGTGAGATTAAATCCAAGTTGATTTAATTAATGACTGAATTAACGCCTCGTTGTGAATCATCGGAGATGTTTACACTTGGAAACAACTTTATTTCGTTTTCTTAACGCAGCTTACGAAAGTTTCGGGGATATTTTCAGATTCGCATCAGAATCGTTGAGTAATTAATTTGATTAGAAAACTTTCTCTCTACTTACGATATCGTCAAACTGGTTCGGTTCCTTCATAACATGACGCTCCTGTCTGCAAATAAAGAAAGTGAAAACAAAACATTAAATCACTGAATTATAAGACTTAGACCAAAACAATCGAAATTGGATGGAAAACTTTCTCGTGTTCTTCTTCTTACTTCATCTTGAGTCATTCTCCGCTTCAAAACGTAATAAAATCTTTTAAAGCATTCGTGATGAAAGTCTTTAAATTTAATTCCATTCTACATTGAATTTTCAATTCACATATTCATGTTGAAAGTAAAAATGTGCGATAAGGAAAGATATTTAAGCGACGTCTTAAAGAAAAAGAATGTGAAAGAAATGAAGATGAATTTTTGTATTAATTCAACGTTAACGGCGTGTGAATTTTTATTTTTTCCATTGATTCAGTCAGCAGTGTTAAAATTCATACGTAAGAGTGAAAAAGAGTAAAAGTGATAAAACTTTAATTAGCATTCTTAAGCTGACATTGAGGAAAATACGACTCGTAATGATCATAGGGTAAAGAAAAGTTTCGCTTGAATAATTGCTTGAAAAGTTTCTTGAGATTTCTTCCAACAGAAACAGCAAGTTCTTCTTGAAAAGAACTTTCAATTTTCTTTGTCCCTCAAATACAAATCTTTGAGATGAAAGTCAACGAAGCATTAAATAAGATTTACTCAACCATGTCTTCGAGATTTTCACATCGAGTTTCTGTTTCTGGTTGTCATCCAACTTTGTTTTCAGAAGAAAAGTTTCAAGTTGCGTGGAAATAATTTCGTTCAAACTTAAATATGCAGGAAAAATTGTTAAGAAATGATGGGAGATTAAACCTAGCCAGTGCTTAAAACAGAAAAAAAATGTGAAGATGAAACTTTTCAACTTGAATCTCCGACATTTTACTCTCGAACTGATGTAAAAATTATTTCATTCCACATCGAAATCTCTTCGAGTTTATCGTTTCTTCGTGATGTAATCTCACTTCTCGAGGATGTCTTTTTGCTTGTCTTCTCGTAGGTAATAAGCGAACGACAAGAATATTTCAAACATTAATATTCCACAATCCACTCTATTGTGAACGATTTCTGGTATAGAGAAAGAAATTCTCAGACTGAAAGTTGTTTCATCACATTTCAATGAAGGCAAAAAAATGGATTTTAAAGTACATGCAGTCTCAATGAGACTGGAAATTATGCACAATTTAAAAAAAAGAACATCACGATTTACATTCCAACATGTTGGGAAGAAGAAAAAAATAAATCTTGTGGTATGAAAATTAAAGTTTAATTCTTATTATTATTATTATGAATATTTAAGAAGTATTCAGACTCTTACCGACAATTTCATGTCGTTAACGTCATGAAACCACACATTAAAGAAAATAATTAAATTAAGTGATAAAACTTTTCCTATAAGCAAATGCTCGATACTTTTATGTATGCGACATGATTTCATGATGTTACTGTCGAGATTAAACTTACAGAACTCATTAAAATGACATTTAGAAGGAAACAGAATAAATTGAGCAATTAAAAACTTGAAGATTCCTCAAACCGACTGACAAGTGACAAGCATTACACGATAAAAGTCTGCGTAGAACCGTTCAAAACTCTTACAACGTTAATTACAGCATAACTATACAAACGATTCGATTTCACCTTGAACTGTTTTGAGTGAGAGATATCCAAGAACAATTATTGTTGCTGCCTTTTCGACGGTTCTACAAAAAGAAATAATTTATGCTCGACAGCTTCGAGTAACTCTTAAATGGGTTTCTGTGATCATGGATATTACCACTTTTTTAATAATTCAATTCAGTTTTTATTTTTAAATCAGAGCACATGCAAAGGCGATCAATTTTTTAATATTTTTTTTGTGGTGTTTCTTTTCTTTACGTTTTTGAATGTAAATGTTTGTGTTCAACGGGCGAGTCTTGAACTTGAAACTGCTTATTAAATAAGCTGAATGAATTCTTTATTTTAAGGCTCTTTGTATCATCATCCTACAATTAAATTTACATTAAACAACATCGCGGAAGTTAAAAAGTTGGAGATAATCTTCAGATTTTGTCTTCTTTAAGTGTGAGAAAAAAAAATAATAAAAGTTGGGATTTAATCTCGTAACATTTCATCGTGAGTGAAGACAGAGAAGAAAGAGCTGGCTTTCATTAGAGCACATTTTTGATATGCTAATTGACGATTAATTTCAATAAAATTCGTATTAAGAGTGAATAAATTTCACGAAGCCATCATAGTACGACACACCGTTAGATGAACATGGGAAAAACTTTTTTTTTCTTTTTTATTTCGGTCACAACGATGTTAATGTGTTTGACAGAAATATTTCATCGAGAGAGGCAGATTTATGCAAAAACCATTTGAGAATAAGAAACAACCACATTTCAAGGCTGGGCATCTAGTTGTTAATTTTTTTTTCTGTTGTTTAGTGGCTGTTGTAAAATATTTTTAGCCGATATAACAATGGAATGTGCGGGTTCATAGCGAAGATAGAAAAAAAATTTAACACGCACAAGTTGAAAAGATTTTTTTTTGTGGCATTCTTGAAACTTATAGAATTTGCGGTCACCTTCAAATGCTGATGTAGTAAGATTTGATTGCTATAAATTGATCACTTCCTGTTGATCACAAAACTTACTAGCAAATTCATTACAAAAATCTTAGCAAAACGCAATCTGTTGATTGAATACTTCCGGAGATCTCATTTCGCCGATATTTTTATCTTAATTTTGGATAATGCTAAGCAACTGGCTTTTCCGTTTTTAGCTCTTAAATCTTTTAATGCGAGTAGACGAAAAGAGCTAATTCAAGAAATTTTATTGCCGGTTCTAGGTTTCGCAAAATTAACTCTGAATCATTAAACTTAATGAATGATTTCATGAAATCTGCGTTAAAACGTTTTATATGAAGTCAAATAATCTTTTTTTTTCCTTCTGCTTATCGAGTAAAGAAATCTTTTATTCAACAGAGCAAAGTCGAATGAACTTATAAGAATTATATTTTATAGCAAGGAAATTGTGAAAAGCATGTCAAAGAAATAAAACATTTTAGTAATCGCTTGAATAATATCAAATTAGAGAAACGTCATTAAAATTGAGTAATCAAGCAGAAACGAACAAAGACCCTCAGTTTGTTTGTCAATAAAAAGTTTCGAGAGTTTGGTGATAAACGTCCAAAATTCTGCTGTGGGAAGGTGAAACGAATTGTAGATTCAATCACGCTTCAAGCTGATTATATCAAAGCTTCTGACTTTCTTGACTCAAGACTATCATCGAGAATGAAATTCAACGCAGTAAAATAAATCCATTTCCGGCTTCTCTCATTTAAAAATTCCAATCCCTCCCATCGTTCGTTTGATTGTTTGAACATCGGAAAGTTTAAACTTAATTATGATGAGGCTGTGGCGATGGTTCATGATCCTAAATAATTACTAACAATTAACTTGAACGAACCTTAAGGATCAGTAGCAATGAAATTAGAGACCAGCAGCAGCAGTCAGAAAAACATTAAATAACCAAAAGAGCGATGAAATTACGTGCTTGGAAGTTTGAAATTTGAGAAATATTTATCCACAGCAACTGACCTGCCCCAAAGGTTCGTAAATTATTTAAAAAGTTATCAAAAAATCTTCCCTTTTGTTAGATATTTTAATGTTCGCTTTAATGCTTCAAAATTGTCGTGTGGTCATCAATTTAATCTTTCGTTACATTTTCATAATAAAAAGCGCAATAAAAATTCCTCCCACGCTTATTATTAATGCGCAATTATTGCAACGTCTGTCACTCATCAAATTACATTTCACTTGCCTTAAGTCCCTCAAACACATTTCATAATGAATTTCATTTACTTTCCTTTCTTTTCAACTTTCCTGTTGACTTTTCATCTCATTAAAAATGATGAATTGCGGTTAAACGCAAAACTTCATTCTTCAACGACTCTTTCAAAGTTATGATTATTGCTTTGGAGTTCCAGCTTCACTTAGAGAGTAAATAACAAGCAGGCAAGTTGTGAGTTACGAATGATAATAAAAAAGTGCAATGAAACTTTTAACGACTTCGAGCATTAATCGCTGAAAATTGAAATTTTGACTTAAAACTTCAATCGGTTGATCACGAAAATATTGCATGAGCCTAATGATGATTACGAGAGGCAACAATGGGACTCAATAAATCAAAGTAGTAATTTATTATCATTGTTGAATCACATTCTGATTCTAAATGCATTCATAAANACTTTCGGTTTTATGATAACTTCTTTTATTTAACTCGATTCTCGTGTCTATTCTTGTTGATTCTTAAATAAATTTCTTTACAATTTACACAACAAAAGAGCCAAGAAACTGTCAACTCAAATGGTTCTTGAATTGCGTCATTAAATATATTTTATTTAGAATTTCAGAGTAGATTTGGCGTAAAGATGTCATTCATTCGTAACTTTTCACTGTACAAAATGAAATGAAAGAAGAGAATCTGAAAAACTTATTCCTTAGTAGGTAATCTAAAGAATTTTTCTATTAAAACTTTCGTTTCAACTTCCGAAGAAGAATATTTTATCATTTCAAATATAAAATTTCATCAGCACTAAAATATTGTTATTTTCATTCGAAATCTTGTTTCCAAGGTTTTCTCTCGAGTAAAACTCGATGGAAACAAAGGAAGGAAATTTTAAAGCTTATTTTATTTCTATTCTGTTTTCCTGCTGATTATGCTGGTACTTACATTTGTTATCCTAAGGCTGACAAAGTTTTTACAACATTACTCACTGTGTTACACAATATTTTAATAGCTTAAGGGTACTCCTTATGTTTGAGGTTTCAATTGTTTCACTCAACATTTAAAGTTTCCCTTTTTGTTTCAGCTACAAAATATTAAACTCATTCATTCACATTTTGAATCGATGAATTTCATATCCCGAAGGAAATAGAAATTTATTGGGCTGTTGAAAGACTTTGTTGAAATCTATTGAATGGACTTGGAAATTTTCGATAAAGTTCTTATCGATGGAACACAAAAAGCATGTCGAAGTTGTGACATTTCTATTGCTTGTTATCATTGTTCTTGGCATTTTTGTGGTTTTCTACTTTTATCTGATGAAGAGACTTAGTCATTGTAATCCGTAGTAATCCTTTGTCTCGATAAAAAGTCAATCAAATTAAGTCTTCAATAATTTATTAGTTGTCATAACAATGACCTAATAACAGTCAACAAATTCAATAAAATCTCGCATGACAATCGCAATATCCGATAATATCGAAGTTGATTTAATTAATGACTGAATTAACGCCTTGTTGTGATTCATAAGAAACGTTGACACTTGGAAACAATTTTATTCGGATTTCGTAAGATTTTCTTACGAATGTTCTAGACAAAAGTTACATTTCTGGCTCGTTGCGTAATTGATTTGATTAGAAGTCCGTTGCTTTAATAACGTCAAATTGGTTCAGTTTCCTCATAACGACTATTAAATTAAAGAAAGCATTAAGCTGATGAATTAAATATTAGACATGATTGCTCTAAGAAGCTTTTCGATACTATTGACTCGTAAATAATTTATTCAATTTAAATTTGTTTCAAGCTTTGTAAAGCAATTTATACTTATTAATCAAGATTTATTTTTCTTCACTTCTTTATTGTAATATTTGAGTAATGAATATGCAAATATGATTTTTATGAAGTGTTTGGCAATTCTTCTTCTGTAGATTAAGAATCATTTTTCCAAAGAGATGAATCAAACATAACTGAACTTCCAAAAAATAAAATTGAAAGCATATCAAGAAATGAAACATTTTTGTAATCGCTTGAATAATATCAAATTAGAGAAACGTCATTAAAATTGAGTAATCAAGCAGAAACGAACAAAGACCCTCAGTTTGTTTGTCAATAAAAAGTTTCGAGAGTTTGGTGATAAACGTCGAAAATTCTGCTGTGGGAAGGTGAATTGTAGATTCAATCACGCTTCAAGCTGATTATATCAAAGCTTCTGACTTTCTTGACTCAAGACTATCATCGAGAATGAAATTCAACGCAGTAAAATAAATCCATTTCCGGCTTCTCTCATTTAAAAATTCCAATCCCTCCCATCGTTCGTTTGATTGTTTGAACATCGGAAAGTTTAAACTTAATTATGATGAGGCTGTGGCGATGGTTCATGATCCTAAATAATTACTAACAATTAACTTGAACGAACCTTAAGGATCAGTAGCAATGAAATTAGAGACCAGCAGCAGCAGTCAGAAAAACATTAAATAACCAAAAGAGCGATGAAATTACGTGCTTGGAAGTTTGAAATTTGAGAAATATTTATCCACAGCAACTGACCTGCCCCAAAGGTTCGTAAATTATTTAAAAAGTTATCAAAAAATCTTCCCTTTTGTTAGATATTTTAATGTTCGCTTTAATGCTTCAAAATTGTCGTGTGGTCATCAATTTAATCTTTCGTTACATTTTCATAATAAAAAGCGCAATAAAAATTCCTCCCACGCTTATTATTAATGCGCAATTATTGCAACGTCTGTCACTCATCAAATTACATTTCACTTGCCTTAAGTCCCTCAAACACATTTCATAATGAATTTCATTTACTTTCCTTTCTTTTCAACTTTCCTGTTGACTTTTCATCTCATTAAAAATGATGAATTGCGGTTAAACGCAAAACTTCATTCTTCAACGACTCTTTCAAAGTTATGATTATTGCTTTGGAGTTCCAGCTTCACTTAGAGAGTAAATAACAAGCAGGCAAGTTGTGAGTTACGAATGATAATAAAAAAGTGCAATGAAACTTTTAACGACTTCGAGCATTAATCGCTGAAAATTGAAATTTTGTCTCAAAACTTCAATCGGTTGAGCACGAAAATATTGCATGAGCCTAATGATGATTACGAGAGACAACAATGGGACTCAATAAATCAAAGTAGTAATTTATTATCATTGTTGAATCACATTCTGATTCTAAATGCATTCATAAATAACTTTGAACTTTGCAGAATTCCCAATGGAACTTCTGTTGTTGTTGAGAAACAATTCAAGTCAATTAATTACAATTTCTTAAGATGAATTAATGAGATTGCTTTTAGAAAATAATCTTCCAGAGAAAAACTTTCAATCGCTTTTCCTTATCTCGCTTCATCGATCGACCGATAATTTGTTGCTTCCTGAAGAAAATTCTCCGCTTCTCCGACAACAAACGTTTAATGTTGCTTGGGTTAAATACAAATTGGAACATTAATTAAATGGATTTCCATGTCAGTCGGAAAGCATTCTTCAATTTAAATTTCATTTTAATGAATGAAGATTGAAATGTGTTAGCGCATGATGAATAAAGAATCTAAATTGACGAATTAATTCGCATCTAAAGTAATTTGCAATCTCACAGTCGAATCTACAAAACTTTTCTCAAGTCAAACAAATCGTTCTCTGATGTTAACTTGCATTGAACATTCAACAATTTTCTAATTTCAATGTTGCAGAGGCAGCAACAGCAGCCGAGAACATGTAAAAAGGTCAAATGTTGTTGATCTTTAATTCGATTTTCTTTGTTCTTATTGCTCCAAAGTAATTTGTATTTGATTCCATCGTTCTCATAAATTGCAGATGAAAAATCTGAGTAATAAAAATCTTGTTCGAATATCTTCTAATAATGCACATCAATGATCAACTTAATTTGATTCAATCAATCAAAGATGTTTTTGTTTAAGTTTCATCATGAAACTTTCATCAACACCACTCGCTCTCCATCTGTTGATGCTTTAAAGCTTGTATCAATGTCGAAAGACTTGAAGAGGCTCAGATATTGATTCTAAGTGGAAATTAATTGCACATCAATTTGATGGCTGAACTTTACGGTTCAAAAGACTCTGAAAGTGATTTATTTCCTTCTTTTGTGTCTTCAACGGCTCATTGAGTTATCACGTTACCTGTCTTTGCCTGCCCTCATTCTAGGCACATTTCAAGCTTCAAACGTTCTGAATTCACGATCAGTGAAAAGTCGTAACTTTGTAAAAGAGCAGAGAGAAGAGTAAAGCAGGCAATCAAAATGTCATTTAAGGTCGATTGATTTTTTACGTTCTTGATGCTTTGATGGCTTAAAACATTTTCTTGTGATAAACAAATTCGATAAAATCGAGAGATGGAGATGATGACGATGAAGCAGGTAATGACAAAATTTATCTTTCGAGTGTTCGACATATTTTTATCTCAAAATGTTTTATTAATATCAATTAAATTTTGAGTTATGTTAATGGAAGTTTCCATTTGAATCTACAAGGCAATTTATTAAGAAATAAATGAAAGAGTTAAACTTCCTAAATAATTATTCTGCTAATTTGTTCTTTGTTGTCGATGGCAACCGTACGTTAGTTTTTAAATTCTCTTGAATCATTCATAATACTTCATTCACATTAATTAACAAATTGTTAACACTTTATCGCATGATTGAATAAGTTAAAGGAAGCTCCGCTCTCGCTTTCGATCTTTAAAACTTTCAGTTTTATTTCATTTCATAATAAAAGATTAAATCAAGTTGCCTATCTAGGTATAAGTCTGAACCGTGAAACTGAAATATGAGAATTTTAAACAATTTCAGCAATAAAGAAACTCATCATGGGCTGAGACATAAACTGATGTCATTAAAATACCAATAAGCCAGACAGAATCTGTCATAAAGTTAAGTTTTCAATCAAATAAATAAAAGAGGCAAAACCGAATAATTTTTAAACGAATTCATCCAATAACGTTAAGCTGCTTTCAACTGTCGCTCGTGAATCAAATATTTATAGTTTCAAAGTCAATTTAAATATTATTTTATTCAAATATTTATAATTTATGAAAAGCCAATGACAATAAATATTAATTTCTTCTCTGTTCTGTACATGATGTTCACAAATCGAATCCAACAAATGAACTTAAATTTTTATCTAGGAACTTTTGATAAAACTAACGTTCACAAACACATATTAATCTGATAAAACTATCGGAGAATTTCTTCACGATCATACTTCCTCATAATTAATCAATTAATATCTCAAAATGAACTGATCCCTTCCTGTCAGCACGATCGTAAGTGATTTTTGGATCCCATGCCTTGCATTCAACATAAATGAGAACATTTTCTGAAAAAAGAAGAAGACATTAATAAATTTAATTAATTCTATGAAGTTCAAAGCATTTCACTTTTTGGTGATTTGAATTGCACAGCAATAATTGGCTGCAAGTAGTTCTTCTGGTTTTTGTAGGGATAGAATGAAGCTGGAAAACCTTGATCAGGATAATACGAAATTCTTCCAATATGTTCAAAGTCAGCAGGATTTTCAGCTTCGCAAGAAACCCAAATTAAATTTTTATCCTCCGAATTTATGTTGTCTTTTAAACCTTGAGGCATTGATTCAGGCAAAACTTCTCCTTTATTATAAATATTGGGCATCCATCCATAAATCTAAAATATGTAAAATCATTTTCTTGATTGACAAAACAACTTTCTCAGAAACACTTTTGCATACTTTGTTCAGTTTCAGAAAAACGCAAGGTTGAGCAGTTGAGTAACCATAATTATAATCTTTTCCACAAGTTTTGAAGTCGTATGAATCATACGCTACAAATTGAAAAGAGAATCTCACTTGTTATTCAATCACAAACTCATGAAACTTACGTTTCAAAAAGTCGTCGACTAATTTCGTCCAATTTTGCACACTTTCTGGATCGCCTGATTGTAGCCAAATCAAACTGTTTTCAACATTCGTGCCTTCATATACTGGTGTTGGTCGAAAGCCTAGACCAGGATTTGTTCCAATCAAACTTTCTTGCAGAATATACTTTGGCAAATGATTATTCAATGTTTTACTGAATAAAGTATAATATATGAAACAAAATAGCGCGAGACAAGAATAGAAAATTATGTAGAAACCAAAAATTTTCGCTAGAAGAGAAAGAAAATTACAAAATTTATTTATGGATCTTTTGTAAATGGGTTAGAAGTTCAAGTATTATTAAGTTTTAATATCATAACTGAATAATTTTTGAATCTTTATAGAAAATATTTGATTAAAATTCCTTTCCATTGTTCTTGTAATATTTAATCCCAAATTCATAATCTTTAAAGGTCATTCGTCTTACCCCAACCAAGCTTTGTTCTCCCTAAAAATTTCTTTTCTTGGGGTATTCTCGAAGCAGCAACTCGGCCATTGAACTTATCATTATTATCCATAACTCAAACTTTCTTAACAATTTTCCAAATTTTCTGTACTAAATTTCTTCTGACTTCCCACTATGCGAAAAGTCGAATCAAACTGAGCTGAAAATTTTAGTTTCTTTGACATTCTCTTTGAGTGAATACGAGAATATATTTTGATATCTCTAAATTAATATTTATTTTTAGACTTTTGTGTTTCATTAATGAGAGTCACATGAAAATCTTACACATAATGACGGTGAACAAACGTCAATCAATTTTCAACTCTTTCTTGAACGACATTAAAGTTCTCATTAAAAGATGTTCTAATCATTTCAATTTATGTTTATGATAAACTTAATACTGATCTTTGGATTCTTATTCCACACTGTGCATTCTATGTTGTATAAAACTCCTTCTATAAATATAAAAATATGTTGCATTTGAAAATTTAATTATTAAAAATTTTCTCTCACTTGTAAGATTTTCAAATTGAATCGCTACGAATGGTGGCGTCTCATTACCTTCATTCGAATAGTAATAAAAATAACCAGGAAACCCTGGGTTCGGAAAGTAGTTTATGTTGCCAATGTCATCTCTATCACTGTCGCAAGACACCCAAACCATGTCGTTCTAGAATCAATGCAGTCACATTGAATATCTCGATAAAAATTTGTTTATAAAAAAATTATTTACTCTTGGATCAGTCTCATTGAGACTATTAATGATGTTTTGTAAGAAATTTGGCATTTCATCAGGCAATTTCTGTGTGTTGTCGTAATATTCCGGCTTCCAATCGTGATCCTTATAGTAAAATTTATAAATTTTCATTTAAATGAAAAGTCAATTTACAAACCTGGTTGAGATATAAAAACACGCAAGGTTGTAAGTTTGAATATCCAAATCCATTTTCTTTTGAACATTCACGTAAGCTTCCAGCTGAGATATCAACTATACAAAATTTTCCAGGATGTGGCAATGGCTTATCGAAACCACATTCGACTCGATTCTTCTCCCCAGCAGCATACGAATAAGCTGAAAATGTATTTCATTTTGATGGAGATTATGTGACAGAATTGAAGCGAAACAAAAACAAACAAACTCACGTCCTAAAAATTTCTCCATGTCTTCAATAAGATATTTTATGTTTGTATCGTTTTCATCATTAATTTTAATGGAAGGTGTGCTAAACTTATTTGTATTGAGTGGTAGCGGACGTAAATAAATATCGTTCTCGAATGGATAGATTGCAATGATAATTAATACAATCAGAACAATCGTTAACACGATGATAGCCAAAAGAATGATAATTGACACTGGAAAATAAATTTAATTTGATTTAAAGATTGATTCACAAGATTATTATCTCATAAATCCGCTAATCACTCAATTGGCTTATTCAAACTTGCGAATAACTCACACCAGTCACACTTTGAATGTTCACGAAAATTATTTATTTGCACCATTTTTATCGGTTTCAAACTTATTCAGGTAACATACTAATTTCAATCAACAATTTACTCAAATAACCTGATGATTAGTCAAAGTATAACAATGAACTGAAAGTAAAACAGTTTTTGAATCTCGCACTCAACTGGAAAGATGAAGATTTCATTTTGTGCTATTTTTTTTCATTCTATAATTAGATTTATGCCTTCTTAAAATATATAAAATCAACAAAATTTAAGATAAAAAATAACAAACGAAAAGATTGAGCAACGCAGCGAATGTTTCACATTAAATTCTCTCTCATGTTGTGAATCACATGTTCGTTTAAAATCTGAACTTTTGTTTATTGAATATCGTAATGACTCGATCACTCTGTCCCTGACATCCCTCGTTGTTAATGTTTGAAAGATTTATGAAGTTTCTTCAGAGTGAGTGATGTGTAAACCAACTTTGAGGATTCCTAGCAGCAAAAAGGAAAACCTTGAAAACAAATTTTTTATTCATTTTATAAACATTCATTCAATTATTTCTATAAATAGCAAAACACTTGTTTTGATTCAATTTCTTTTCTGTTTTTATTGAATGACAAGTTACAGCAACTAATTACTAGATAAATTCTAACATCCCAAGTCTTAAAAATCTGGAATGATTTTTCACTATTTTCTTCAGCTCTTTAATAAATTTCTTCGTCAATCAAGAGTTCAAAATGAACTGAACCCATCCGTTCGATACGATCAACTTTTATGTTTTTAGCCCATGCTCTGCACTCAACATTAATCAAAACATTTCCTGAAAAATTTCAATTTAGTAAATTTGTGTTTAATGGAAGAAAATTGTGAAAATTACTTGTTGGTTCCCTGAAATGAACAGCGACAAGAGGTTGTAGATAATTCTTGGCATTCTTGTACGGGTAGTAGTAAGTAGGGAAACCTTGTTGTCCCTTGGGATAATAATCAATTTTTCCAATATTCTCTCGATCTGCTGGACTTTCCCCTTCACATGACATCCAAATTAATGCATCCTTTAAAAGAAAGATTTAAGTTTGTTATTTATAAGTAATTTGTGTTCCTTTTCCATACTTGAGGATTAGTTCGTAAGGCAAGTGTTTGCAATTCTTTTGGCATTTTCGGATCCTTTGGACGAGTAGCATTCGAATAAACTTGTGGTTTCCAATCAAATATCTGTTGGTACATAAAGTGATATTTGGTTAAAGTTTTCAGATTACTAGATGGAATAAATTTCAACCTTATTAAGTTTCATAAAGACACAAGGTTTTCCATCGGGATAACCATAACCAAATTCTGATTTGCATGGACCCATTCTTAATGATTCGACGTCGAATTCACAAGGCCTTCCTGGCGTTGGTCTCTCACTAGGGCAATTGACCGTTGGAACAGAATCATTCCTTAGGTATGCTGTAAAATTCATTATTAAAATTTTGAAATAACTTGAAATTTGTTATCATACGTGATAAAAATTTATCTAGGTCATCTATCCAATATTGCTGAGAATCTTCATCGTTTATTTGGTACCACACCATTGCGGTATCTGAATTGCCTTTCGGTGGTGCTGGTCGGAATCCCATTCCTGGATTAGTTCCAATAAGACTATCATCAAGCACGTAATTGGGAACCACTGGATCAACTGTTTTATAGAAAAGCCATAAAGCTGTTCCCCAAAAAGCAGAGAGACATGAGTAGAAGATGATGTAGAAAACGGTAAGTTGCACTGAAAATATTTTTAAAGTAAAGTTTAGCTTGCATCACGTATTGAAAACGTGTAAAATTTTGTCAAAAAGAAATCAATGGAAATTTCCCACAAATAATAAAACTAAAAAAATGTTAAGCAATTATTATGGTTCGTTTCTATATTTGTTTTATAAATTTTTAAACTTTTGTCTTACATAAAACCTTGAGAAGTTTTTTTTAAGTATCCAGATATTTATTTAAAAAGCTTTTAAATCTTCAAGTTGCCGTTAATCAAATTCTTGTTTTTAAGAAGATGAAAGATCTTTAAAAAGCTGAGAAAATTTATTCATGCAGTGCACATTATACATATTTTATATTCATAGGCCTGTTGAATGTGATAAAAAGTTTGAATAAGCCTAAAGAGATCGTTGGTAATAATTTTGTTATAAAACTGTGTGCCCAAACTAAGTAAAGTTTATTTGCTTAAGAACGACTTAAAATTCTGGTTTATATTTTAAGAACCTTAATTTTACGTGACACGTAGCAAAGAAACATGTTTGAAACCCTTCTACGAGTTGTTCTTATCAAACACTTAATTTGCATAATTTCAAGATTACAAGGAATCAAAATCAAAGCAGTCGATTAATGTTTACTTACACCATCCAAGAGGTGTTCGACCAAGGCACTTTCCACTGTCATCCTTAGCCTCGTAAAGGTATGGATAAGCAGCACTCTTACTTTCAAATTTCATTCTTAAGTTATTAGTTAATAGTTGGAAGCTTAAAATTTCAAAAAGACAGAAGAAATATATATGAAATCGAACCAATCGCTGTAACAGTCAATAACAGACTGAACACAGTTTATTCACATTGAAAAATCTCCAATGACCACTCTCGAAAATAAAAGAACTGAAGACAACATCACTCTTGCGATTTTTAATGACATTGAAAATTTATATAATGAATCAATGCTACTTGTGGTGGATGTAATCACGCAACACTCACACATAATGTGCAAAGAAGTGTAATTAACAGTTTGTAGAGATCTTCTTTAAGTAAAAGAGCCGGTTTTCTCCCTCGGAAGATGTTATCTTTATTATATATTTTCTTTTCGCATTATTCAACAGACTTTTATGTCATCTACTCGAGTTCCGAGAATGAGAAAGAGAGAAATTCTTTTACATATTTAATTCACGATTTTGGGTATTTTCCATTTACGTTTTTGACAGTTAGTATTGCAAAGTAAATAATGAATGAAAAGAAATAGATTCAACTGCAGTTCCAAATTACTTACTTCCGATGTTTATGTTTATGATATTACAAGTAATTAAGTAAATGTTTTGAATTTATAGAACTATTTATTATTCAAAACTCGTTGGTTTCACATAAATTAAAGCTCACAGCTTGTAAGCTTTCTTACATTACAACAATATTATTTAGTATTAAAGGAAAGGAGAAGGGAATGCAAAACAATTTAATCCTGATTTCTTGAGATGAATAATGTAATCAAACATAAATATCTTGGTAATATAGATCAAGATATGGGCAAATAGAATCAAAATAGTGACCCAAATGAAAGGTCGACTTTCATCAACAACATTGAAGCCCAAAAAATTATTTTCCTAGAAATTTATTCCAAAACATTTCTTTCATCTTCAGAATTCATTGAATGGAAAATTAAATTTTCTTGACTTTTAATAAAAAATTTCAGTTTCAATTTTTCTTTATCGATAACAAGGCAAATTATTCTTGGGAAGTTCAATGGCTTGTGCCATAATTTTTATCATTGATTGACAAAAATTCTTTTGATTTTGTCGTTCAAATAGCTCTCGAAATTGAGTTGAACATCTTCATCATCAATTTATGTCGATCAGATGATGGGATTCTATGGAAATTAACTTCCCAAAAGTACCACTTAGTGTGAACAGTAAAACGATGTAAAGAAATTCAGTCGACATCAATTTCCTTTAGTTAATGAGCGACAGTTTCAAGTCTTTTCAAACGCTTTCTTTTCTTCCCTTCAAAGAGCTTTACGGTCGACAAATAACGCAAATTTTCGACGACACAAAAGGTCAAGAATGAAGATGACTCGACATCAATTTCCACTAATTAATTTCACTTTCATCAGAAACGTGTCGTTTTGATCCCATCAACACCCAAATATTCTTCTCATTAAACATAATGTCATTGATAATAGTGTCGGTAATGACATTGATGGGAATGAGAAACCTTCCGAGAAGTGATACAAAATGTGATTCTGAATAATGTTTCCGATACCGCAAGTTTCCTTCCCACGTTCTTTCTTGCGATACTTGTTTAGATACTCAACGTAAAGATATAAAATGAAAATATTTAAATTCGTTTTTAAGGAACATTAACTGCTAACACCACAACGCGACGCTCCTTGTCGTGAATGTTTTTCACTTCAACTTAATTCTCAATCAACATTCATTCAAATAAACGAATGAAAATGAGAAGGTAAATCGGAAAGCGTTTGAGCTTCAATCAAATCTCAAGTCAACAAAAGCGAAATGTAAATTGAATTGAATTCTGCTTGAGTTGAAATTGAGTGAGATGTTTGAGTATGATTTGATAACAAAACATGATGAAATATTTATGTTGACAATGAATTAGACATGAAGCTTTTTGTGAGATATTCGTATGAATGAAATTCAGAGGCTCGTTTTATGTGGGAGAAGGAAGAAGTGAAATTCACCATTTGGTTAAGGAAATGACAAATTGATATTAAATAAATTTAATAGAATTTCAGAATATTTCTCCAATAAATGCCAAGGAAACTTACTCAAAGTTCAAAATTAATTACATAAGTGATTTGGACAATGTGTAACCAAATCATGGGTTACATTTAACATGTTTAAAGTTCACATGAATACGATACATGCATCAACTGACGGGAAAAGCAGTATCAAAGCAACTAAGTCAAAGTTGTAAGAGAACTCAGTGCAGTAAATGAAAACCACACAAATGTGGCCAAGGTAGAAACGTTTCAGATCCAATTTCATCCTCGCTCGACATTTTTAATTACTAAAAGTCAGTCGAGTCAGTTTGTCAATGTTTGTATGCTCTTTTGTTTATAATTCTCACTTGTTACTTTACATCTTTCATAAAACTCAAATCGTGTTTAAGGTTCCGTTTCAGTTCTGAATTTCTGTTTGCCTTAGAATGTCGTATAAATTAAAAAGTTTATAAGTTGACCTTCAATTATCAATATGTGAACCAGAATTTACATAAAAAGTTTTAATTCTGCATTAGGAACTAAAGATAAAATTTAGTTTCTTTTCTGCAACATTCAAACAAAGATTGAAACAAAAGTCCAAATTAATGAAAGATTTCAAAGGGAACTGATGTCAAGTGGTGAATAGGATGAAGCGTTTTAAGAGTTTTACTTACCTAGCACCATTTAGAAATCGGTACTGTTTGCGAATTCAAATCAACGTGACAATTAATCAACGGAATCATTTTGGTTTTTATATGTTGAATGTAAAGTGTTAAAAAAAGTCGTGAATTATTTAATTTGTCTATATGTAAAATTTACTTTTTTTTGTTTTCTTTCTCTAAATTTTAATCATCTCTAATCTAATAAAAATAAGTGGAAATTGATTACGAAAATTTGAAATTTGTTAAGATCTACATTTTCGAAAATCAAAGTTTCGAATTTAAGGATTTGAACCCTTGCAAGGGAAATTTTATTGTCACGTGAACTTCGATGTCAAGCAAGCTGTTTGAAGACTTAAACAAATAAATAAAATTGAATTTGAGTGAAAAATGTCACAGGTATTGTAACTTCTCAATAATAAGTTGTTTATATATTCAATAAATTATGAAATTCTAATAAATAGAAACGTCAACGAGCTGACGGTGAATTTAACCTTAAAGAAGCAAATTCCATTGAAACTTCTGACAAAAATGTTGATTTTTATGAAAGTTACTTTTTGAATTTGGTTCAATTCTCCAATAGCGAACTTGATGCTATTATTGAAGAAAAAAAATCTCATAATGCTGCTTTGAAAGCTCAAAACAAGGAATTAAAGGAAAAATCTGAGCAACTGGATCTTGAAAAAGCAGAGTTGGTCTCATGTTTGTTTAAGGAAAATGTTTACAACGAGAAAACAAAAGAAACATTTAATGAGTGGAGCAAAAGCTTGATGGCATTTCAATCCAAATATAATGACCTGGTGGATCCATTTAATGATGCCAAAAATGCTTTGAATAAAACACGAGACGAGTACAAGAATGCTGTTTCGATGTACAACGATCGAGAGCAGAAAATAACTGATTATCAAAAGGAATTGGATGAGAAACGTAAGTGTGACATTTTAAATCAAATATTTGATCAATTTACTCAAATTTTCCTCTAAAAGTTATTCAAAAAGCTGAAGAAGTTGAAGCAGCTCAAGTAACAGCAGACCAAACTCGACGATCAAGAGATGCAGCAGCATTGGAGTTGGAAGAACAAAAGAAACTCCTAGATCAAGCTAAGGAAGAAGTTCAAAGAATGAACGAAGAATTGAATAAGTTTAATATCGAAGATTTGTTGTTGAGAGCTGATCAGTTGGTAATTGAGCGACAAATGAAGAACGATTCAATCACTGAGCTTCAAACTCGAAGACATCAACAAGAAAACGAAGTCAGAGAATCTGAAATGAAACAAAATGCAATTCAGTGCGATATTCAGTCATTAGAAAATGAAATTGACGAGACAAAGAATCAAAATTATATTCTGGAAAGACGACTTGAAAGTCTCAAAGAAATCTCCGAGAAAATCATCCAAACAAACTTTGAACGACAAATACGAAAAGTTGAATCTGGAAATTTCCGTTTGGTTGAGGAATTAGATAAAAAGATTCATAAAACTAATGAAAATTTGGAAATTATCGACAAGTTGATGATGGAAAAACGTGAAATTCAAAACAAAATCCAAGGCCTTGAAATTTCAAAACTTCAAAAGCTCAATCGCATTGAGGAACTCGCCTATCAAATTGCAGACATTCCAACTGAAAATAAAACTCTTCTCGATCAGCGAGTAAAAAGTCTGAACCAAATCAACGAAACAAAGACAAAAATTGATTCAGTTAATCAAGAAATGAAGAAAATTCATCAACATTATGAGAAGAAGATTTCCAAGGAACATCGCCGACAAGCTTTGATGGGTTTCATCGACAGCGACAAGAAATCTTCTCAATCTGGTAAATCCAGTGATGAATCAGAAAAATCAATGACAAAAGTTTCTGAAGAAGTCGCTGAAATTGGTTTGATAAAGAAAATTAATTTCGACTCTTCCTTCAGTAGTTCAGTGAATTAAATTTTCCTTTTAATTCATCATCACAAAATAAATCGAATTGATGCTAACAAAATGTTCACTAAAACTGAAATAAAATTCTTGAATTCAACTTTGAAAGTTTTTCAATGAAAATAAATTTCTCAAACAGGTTCTGAATTACTGCAAGTTATAATTTGCTCAACTGAGGTTGAAACTCGTTAAATTAAATAAATGTTCATGTAATTAAAATTGCAACCAGCTCCACTTAATACACGCCAGCACTTTCTTTACTCTTCCCATCTCCAGCCACACCCCCAATGAAAATGAAAACCAACACAAGAAGCTGAAAGTTTGCTCGAGATTTTCCAATAACTTTTGCTTTTATTCGATACACGAACGAAACTTGAAGTCATAAAGTGAATGATGAAGCTTATTGAGAACTATTAGAAGTCATCATCGTTCAATGAACAATCTTCACTTAATACAAACGAGATCTCGCCCTGACTCAACACTTCACCTTCAGACAAATAACGTTCATGAATTTCGTGATTATCTCTCCAATTTCTTGGATGACTTGGATGTGAACGTGACGGAGATTCTTCGCTTGTTATTGCAACTTCATTCAATTGGTTAGCGAGATTAGTGCGGGGACAAGGACGTGGAGGATCATCGAAGGAAACTGCAGTGTTCATCAAGTTATTGAGCAATTCACTTGATGGTGATGATATCGATGAAGAACTTCTTGTTGAATGAATATTTTGTGGCGAGAATCCACTGGAACTTGAGTGTTCACTTCCATTCTTCTGTTTCTTGCGTTTCTCAACTGAACGAAGAAATTTCTCGGCTGCTTTCATCACTTCATCGTCACCTGAATAAATCGGATTGAAAGGAACTGAAAACAATTTCTTGGACGATGAAATGGGAGAAATGGAAGTTGGCGATAATTCACCTGAAGGCATTGACAATTTCTCAAAAGTGTCGACAACTTGAAAGTTTCTTTTATCATCGCATGTGAAGCAACGACATGACTCGTGTTTGGGTTTTGATGTCGGAGTTTGATGGAAGTTTATGTAATTGAAATTAGAAAATTTTTCATAAACAGCACCGAAAAATTGCTGCGGCCTCCGATTGAGATTTCCGTCATCAGTTTGCACTTTCTTGTCTTCTGCAGTTTGAATACTCGACTCAGTCGTTGATTTCTTTGCCTTCACATCGTTTGTGGCTGGGGGGGGGTTTAAAAG